GTTAGGCATTAACACGAGTACTGAGAACTAATGAAGGTAAGTTAAAAAGCAGCCGGGCAAGTAATAACAATCTTATTGGCACAAGCCTAATTGAGATGGCGTTGAAGATTGACCAGTACCTTTTCTTTTAGCACGGACTCTAGCAGACCCTCCTGTCTTACAGTCACCCACGAAATTATCATATACCTAGCTAAACGAGTGGCAGACCTCGACCACTCGTGCCAGTAGCGCGTCTGTCGCACCGCTCGTGTGCCGTTGGCGCGTCTGTCGCACCCACCTGCGGCGAGAAGCACGGCCGGCCGGCCGGCCTGTGGGGACGGTGTCGAGCCGTAGGGCAGCGCCGACGGCTGCGGCATGGTGAGGTGCAGCGGGTCCGTCACCGAGCGGCCGCTGCCTCCCGACTTCTTCAGCGAGTCGTCCCGAGAGCTCTGCACGTACGCGGGTCATGGGTCACGGGTCAGGGTCAGGGACATGGGCCAGGTCACATAGAAACAGGACATTAAAGGAGCACAGACGACGGTCATAACCCGTGGTAACATGACAGGACAGGACCAGCGGCTATACCAAGTTACATCTGCTTGCGCACATTCTGATCATGTTTACCCCAGTCCAGTGCTACGACAAAGCTAGTTAGCCTGCCTCTCCGCACTCCTTATCACGACGAGGGCAGTCCCGCTTCCCAGCACCTTACCAAGGAGAGGTCCCTGTAGCCAAGCGACCCCAACCCTACCCTTCCAAGCTCCTTAGTCCTTGGTCCTTACTATCACAAGACTCGCCAGAAACCTTGTCCAATGTTATCCCCTTCCTTACCACGACGAGATCCTCGCAGCTGAGCGACACCTGCAGCGCGGCGTGCACGCTCCGCTCGTGTTTGATCTCGGGGTCCTCGAGCCCGGCCTCCTGTCGGATCTGCATCAGCCGGGACGGTGTGCGTACCCCGCTGCTGCTGCCCGGAGACTGCGGGTACACGGAGAGACACGGGCGGGTCAGAGGCGGGACATGAGGTGGATTAGATAACACCAAACTTGTATTGAAATGGGAGCTAACTAACTAGTAATGACATCCAAATGCATGGCCATATTACTGTTGTAACTGTTAGTTACTGCGTAGGACTATGAAAGTTAGGTTCAAAAAGCTTCGATCTTATTATAAGACCGGATATTTAGGACCATCTATTTAGCACGCTGCGCTCGTGCCATTGACTAAAAATTGGTAAAAGACATCGCAACAGTCCTGCTGACGCCTGATACTCACACTGGGCGGAGCCAGCGGACTGAAGGTGGCACTGAAGCGACGCACGCGCGGGTTGTGTGTCTGGCTGGAACCGCCGAAAGAGAATAGCGGCGGCGAGCCGAAACCCCTGTAGAGGAGAGTAAAACATGTCACAAAGAGTTGAAACTCAAGAACCTGTAATGTCGGGGCAGTGCCACTGCTGTTATGACACGAGCCTAATTTGACATATCAGCGTAATAACAGATCGTTTGAAGGACGTCCTTCAGTAAAGTGTTAGCCTTGGTTCACGCTTCACGGGCACGTTAGCAACCAGGCTACGCTGGCTATGCAGTGTCATTGTAGTGTATCTTTGTATATCTGAGCCAAAATAAAAGGTAAAAATGAATCAACATTGCAATACACATGTTTCTAAGTACAGGCTAAACCTATCCACCAATTAAATACATCTTATCACTGCTTATAAGCATGCTTATAAGCTTATAAGCACTACTAAAAACAGAACAAAACAATAAAATATGTCATACAACAATGAAAAAGGGCACTGATACCTGGAGGCAGAAGTTGAGCTGCAGCTGATGTTCTGCGCCTGCGACACGAGCTCGTTGATCATTGGCGCGCTGGAGGACCGTTTGAGCGTGGATCCCGAGGAGGCAGTGCCTGTGCCGCCCCCTCCGCCACCCTGAGACGGTCCGCCGCCGCCGGCCGGTGTCGGGTCCACGTCCATTGTGGCAGCTCTCAAAACTGAGGGGGAGGGGCAATGATGCCTAGTGTATGCTCATTGTTAGATTTTGCTGGGTATCTGGTGCAAGGGTCAGTACCAAATAATGTATCTGCTGCAAGGGTCAGTACCAAATAATGGATCTGCTGCAAGGGTCAGTACCAAATTATGACACATGGGGGTAACTGTTACTGTACACATTTCCTAATACCTATACGGAATGCATTTTTACTGAATACATTGAACACATTGTAAGATGTGTCTATCAAAATATTGTTTACCTATACAAATTTTCAAAGGAAAAAGCTTATCTTCTGCTAAATGTAAATGAAAAGGTACCAATGAGAATAGAGTAAGCCCATTAAATGGCTAACAGCTCATTTCCTTGAAACTGCTCTAAGTATACCTGGGCCTAAAGTCTCTAAGATATACATAAATCACCTAACTACACATAAAGCATGCTTAAGTATACTGCCTAAAGTAACAGAAAATACCAGAGGTAAGATACATCTATAATTTATCAGCATTAATGAATAACCTGCTGGAAAAAACATTTGAAAACCAGCAAGCTGGCCAGGCTCAAGAATCCAGATTTGTTTGCATTACATCGAATGAGTTTACTGTGTAGTAGAATAAGTAGATACCTAGTAGATACCTACCACCTAGGTTCACAAGAGTGAGGACCCCTTTGGCTGAACTTCACCCTTCCCAAAGAAAATAGTTCAAGTAATGACACCATCAATACCAAAATAGCAATTTGTAATGATTAAGTGGTCTGTGGCTCTACATTGGAAAATCATGGCTTCCTGATTAGAGCTTGCAAAACACCTCCACAGTTCACATGTCATTGTTTAAGATAATCTCAAGTTGGAAGGTAATTGGTTTTAAAAAATTTAGACTCAAGGATAGTGTTAAAAAAGTACTGAGTTAAAGGGACCCTCCCACCTTCAAAAAAGTTTATGAATTGGCATGAAAGTGATGTCGCTCGGTTCAGAAAGAGCGAAAACGAATATCTACCAAATTTCACCGAAAAATATTCACCGGTTTTCAAGATATTAGACTTTTACTTTTGTTTACTTTTTTGGGATCTCCGCTGTTTCTAGCGACTTTATTTTAGAAGTGCGGCGTTTGCGGCAGATGTTGCGCGCAAATAGCATATACCACCGCGTGCTACAAAACATTTTAGTCAAACATTTAAAAATCGTTAGATATTTGCGCTGACGTCACACATTCAGAGGGGTATTCCTAAGCATTAGCCCCTCTGAATCAAAATGCTGCAATTTTGAAGTTCAATATTTCCGATTTAAGGCATTTCTCGATGTTGTGAGTGCCGAAACCGGTAATTGTGAGCCAGGGACCCCATTTTGGCTATCTCAACTCAAATCTAATGTTAAGGTGGGAGGGTCCCTTTAATAATGGGTAGGGTGCGTATTTTGGTCGAGGTGCCGTGTGATAAGAACATGTCTCTCTCTTTGTTTTTGTGTTTTCGAGGTTCTCTGTAAGCACGTTTCGAGGTGCTGCATGTTTAAAATGTCGTTTCTCCACGATTGTGTTATTTGTGGTGTGTTTTACTTTGAGGTGACTATTTGACTCAGTCGAGATACATGCGATTTGGGAGCCTCTTGGTTAAAAATATCATTAATAAAACATTTTTATATTTATATGCCAATGCTTATACAAATTGCACTTGATTACTTGAAATATTATGTCGATTCTCAGGATAAGATAAGGAAGCTCATCACAGGCGCGGATCCAGGGGGGGGGGCGACGGGGGCGGCCGCCCCCCCCCCCCCGACATTCGAAAAAGGCGCCCATAGCCCGCGGCAGAGAGGGCGCCCCGAGCAAAACAGAGGCGACACAGCAAAGGTTGAGCAGAAATAGGGCGCCTCCAGCAGAAGTTGGGCTCACCAAGCAGGAGAGCGACGCCCAATTGCCCATTCCCAGCAGATCAGAGTCGCCCCAGAAGCAGATGGGCGCCCCCAGGAGAAGAGGGGCGTCTTAGAATAAAAAGATGCCTTCTGTTCAAGAGGGGCACTCCTGGCAGGAGAGGTGTCCCGCTGAAGAGGAGCGACGCCCCAGCAAAAGTAGAGAGGCGCCCCCATTCCAAGAAGAAGAGGAGCGCCCTAACAGCAGATAGGCGCCCCCCCAAAAAAAAGAGAACCCCATAATAAAAAATGGGTGCCACTGGCAGAAAAGGGGCGCCCCCGGCAGCGGAGGGGGCCCAGCAGGAGAAAGTAGCCTCCAGCAGGAGACAGGCGCCCCAGCGAAGGGGGCGCCCCAGCAGAAGAGGGGCGCTCCAGCAGAAGAGAGGAGCCCCCTGCAGGAGAGGGGCGCCCCCAGCAGAAGAGGGGCGCCCCAGCAGAAGAGAGGCGCCACAGCAAAAGTTGATCAGAGATGGGGAGCCTTCAGCAGAGGTTGGGCTCGCCAAGCAGGATAGGGGCGCCCCATTGACAATATCCGGCAGACGAGAGACGCCCCAGCAGCAGATGGGCGCCCCAGCAGACAGCAGCTGTTGGGCGCCCCCGGTAGAAGAGGGGCGCCTCATTACAAGAAGAAAAGGAGTATATTCTGCACAAGAGGGGCGCCCCTGAGGCAGCGGAAGGGCAACCCCAGCAGAGGGGCTGTGCCCCAGTAAAAGGAGAGTGGTGCCCCGCTCCGAGCAGAAGAGGGGCGCCCAAGCAAAAAGAGGAGCCCCATAAGAAGAAAAGGGGTGCCTCTGGCAGGAGAGAGACGTCCCCCGCAGTGGAAGGGCGCCCCAGAAGAGGTGTCTCTAGCAAAAGATAAGTGCCCCTGCAGGAGAGGGGCACCCCAGCAAAAGTTGGGCAGAAATGGGGCGCCCCCAGCAGAATTTGGGGTCGCCGAACAGGAAAGGGCCGCCCCATTCACAGTAGAAAAAGGGACTCCCCAGCAGCAAAGGCGTGCCCTAACAGAAAAGGAGCACTCCCAGTAGAAGCGGGACGCATCAAGAAGAAGAGGGGCACTTCTAGCAAAAAATGGGCGTCCCAGATAAGTGGGCCGCCTACAGCAAATTGGTCGTTCTTAGAAGAAATGAGGCGACTTCAGCAAAGTGAGCCTCCCCATGACGGATTGGGCGATCCAAGCAGAGGTTGGGCGCCCCCGGGAGAAGTGAGGCATACCAGCATAGGTGAGACACTTCCAGAAAAGAGGGACATCACCGGGAGAAGAAGGACGCACCAGCAAATGGAGGCCACCTTTTTGCTTATCTCTTTTGCTAGCGAAGCGGCGCCAATCTACGACATTTAACCCGCGCCGTGCTAGTGGTCTAAGTTTTCCGTGCCGTGCTGGGGGGGGGGGGGGTCACGCCCCCTCGTCTAACTCGGCTCTTGGGCCGCGTAGCGACACGCGGTAAGCGGCATTCGAAAGATCGTCCAAAAACAGGACGAAAACAACTCTGTCATTTTTTAGATCAGGTGAAAGGTCAGGTCACCATAGGTCATCAAAAGTAAAATGTTGCCTATTTCAACATTTTTTTTTTCGAAACACCGGCACATACCTAACTAGGAAACCAATACAGCTATAGTGCAGCGGAAAAGCGCATTCGATAGCCCTTTCAAAGGTGTTTCCGTAACCTGTCCTCAGATATGACGCAAGGTTAACGGTTTAGTCTTCGGAGGGCAAAAACTCTAAAAATAGCCGTTTTACGAATTAACAATGTCTTCTTGTAATAATTTTTGACTCAAGAGAGTCTCGACGTTACCTTTGCCAGCATCACGTTTCTGTTCGAGACGCGTCGAATGAACAATATGATGACTTTTAAAGGCAATTTTGAGAATTTGACCTCATGTCAAAGTCATGACCTGACCGGGAAAGATCATATTGCATATCAGTCGATCCGTATCGTCGAGCTGAACACAACTGAGTTTTTTATCGCTCTAGCATGTATCTATCAAAAGTTATTTACAAAAAAAAAAAAAAACAGCTGTGAACCTTTCATGACCTGGGATAACCTCTGGAACATAACTAATGAGTGGTCACAGGTGCAATGTTCTTATTAAGTGTGTTAATTTTATCTGTATCCCAATGCTTGAGATTGTCTAGAATGGCGCTCGTCCAAAAGAGATGCTTCAATTTTCTCCCATAGACTTACCTATACATAATAGAGAGGTCGCAAAGCTGACCTGGCCTTAGGTTACATATCAAAATTCCGAGATATACATTTCATGAATATTGTTGCTTTCATCAACTGCTGAAAGTTTCAAAGCGATCGTTCAGTCGGTATAGCAATGGTGCGCATTTGAACTTTTTCTAAGGTTAGGTCACGTGGAATAACCTGGTGACCTGACCTTGCATCACCCGGGTCTCACATTTTTACAACATGCGCAGAAAAGATATATGATAACTGATAATGTATACTGAAAACGGCGGCACTGCGCGCAGCCGTTTTAATGATCTTTGCGAAAAACCTAGGGGGGACGTGACAACGCCCCCCCCCCCTCACGGCGTGGGTTTTAAACTCTCGATTTTGACGACGGTTTGGCGCCCCCTGATTGCCAGGTCGCCCCTATTTAAACTTGCCGCCCCCCCTCCCGAAAATTCCTGGATCCGCCCCTGGCTCATCATAGAAGAGGACCAGGTCAAGACCAATCACGAAACAGGCCCCTAGGTTTCCGAAGAAACAGCTGACTAGCGAAGCAACATTCAAACTTTGAAAATGACTTTCGATCATTGATTTTAGCTGATATCATGCCTTTAACAGCACTGATGCCATTAAGAAAATAGGAAATCCATCAAAATACCCATTACACATGGCATATCTCAACAAATATCAGTAAATCTGAATTATTTGATCCTACTTATATTGAAGTGAAAATCAGTTATCTTATTCTAAAACACTTCCAACTCATTTTTACGACGAAACACAACAGGAAATGGAAGCGTTGAATCACAAAATCCTCACAAAATTGCTTCAGTCACGTATGGGTGCATAATGTGGCGCAGTGACAGAGGTCACTTGAAGGACTTCGACCACTGATCTTCGGGCTGTAAGCGCTCTCAACGTACCTCCAATGAGTCCGAGAATTGGCTTAAAACAAAGCTGGCTTGAGTAACCTTCAAATTAGCCTTTTAGCTACAAAATATCGCCGGCGACCACGCAGATTCGTCGACAACCAACCACCAAAATTCTGCACTTCGGTTCACCTCAGTTTACTCGTTCGGCTTCCGCACTTCCTTGATATTCCTAGCGCGACTAGCGGCTATACTTTGAACTGCTCTCGTTTTTCCTATGTAAAATCGAGATATCAATTTTCGCGATTAGTTTTGGTAATTGAAAAACTCATGAGTAATTTTTAAGAGATCAAAAATAAAAATAAAGCCTTCATTTTGATTTCAGTTCACAGCTGATATTAAGATTTTAGAGCGGCCAAATATGGTGGGAACGGGCAGCAAGACTAGGGGGCAAGGTTGGGGTTTGGAGGTCGGAAATTGAAATCGTGGAAGTATGTAGATACTCAATGTGGAATGGAATTCCACATCATAAGTAAATATATGCCGTTAACAATGCGCAAACCTTCAACATTCGTTATCATGCCAGAACTTCGTTGATACCCTGAAGTGAACAACTTACACCAAAGGAACGGTGACTTCGCAATTCATCCCATCCGCCCTCCGTGACAGCGTATTATGTAGATTGGCAAGGCCAGGCAAGATATACGTACAGGTCTCGCGGGTTTTAGCGGTAGGTTTTGGACCTACAAAATTTAGTGTACTTCAGGCCATATCTTCGTCGTCTCAAGCTTTTAAGTGTTGAAGATGCAATCGACTTGTTGGGTAACAAGCCGGCCATGATCGTGTAAAATGGTTTCATCGTAGATCGATTAGTTTCTGAGATATAACCGGAAATGTAAAAGTGCAAAACCTACCGCTTAATCTCGCGAGACCTGTACGTGTATCAGCTCAGGTTTGCAACCGATAATTCAAACACCAGCATTTCATTACCGTAACACAGGCAGGACTCCGCCACCGGGGGTGGGCTGGGGGAGACAAGGTCCTGATCCCCCCCACAATTTTGTTCCCGGGGACAGCTGAATGTATGTAATGGTGCGCATTTTTAGTCGGACTCTAATCCTAACGCGTTTCGCTTGCTCTTCATTATTTCGACCATTCACCGGTAATACGCTATTACTTGGCTAGTCTATAAAACGAACAACCTTCCTACCAATCAGGTCACCGCTGTGGCAGCTGGAAATCATCCAGTATTCAGTTGTCGTATCTCGAACACGGCCTCGCTGATGCATTCCTGGAGTGCATTATGTGCAAGTCGGCTGAATTTGCGCCACTCGGACCACCTCGGTGGTTACAACCTTCAAAACGGCCCGCTTCGATCGTTTCCAACAGTCGCCAATCACTCCGAGCATACGAGATGGGACTGTCTGCTGCCAGGTTGCATCCCTATAACCTGAGGTGGCTTGATGAAAAACAAGCCACATCACAGCACTTTATCTCATCAGGCATGACCGTACTGAGTACTGACGTCTACATCCGTTTCTAGCCAGCCACACCGTCCGACGAGCCCACCCACAAACCTCGGAGTCTGTTCAATATTGAATCATCTATTTGATGCGTTCGGTGAATATATGATAGTGCCACTTCCGTCGGCGGCCGTGCCGCACAGTGCGACTGGGCACCGCGCCGGGCGGCCTCACTGTACAAAATATACACACACGTAACGCACACTGCGACGAGCACCGAGATAAATATTCATAAGACGGATGGCCGAGCCCGACCGACGCATCCGCGAATGTCTCCGCATGCATCGGACTTTGATAACGGGCTATCACATGATTATATCGGCCGGCGGCGGCAGCGCACAGGAATGGCGGACCAGCCAGACAGCGGCAAAGCGTCCGTCGGGGCGGATCGGCCGGCCGGCCGGCCACCTGAGCCGTCCGCCGACCACAGACAGGTGCCAGGCACCCCTCACCCCTCCCCGCCCCCACACCAACCCAGGCCGGTCATATCTCGGATAATCAACATCTCGCCGGCGCCGCCACTCAAACGTCCACCTGCCGAGCCCTGTCTGCGCTCCTAACTACACAACATATTCCCGTCTCCTGAGCACATATATACACTCACACTCTCACCCTCCCTGACGCTCCTGGCGAACGCATGCGATACATACACATAAAATATCACTTGTAGTATTGGGCCGACGCTTCGACGTGCGGATAACAAAAAGCCCATGGGCTCTGGAAACGCTCTAACCACCGCTGGGTCGCGGTCCGCCTGGCGGTTTAACCGCTCCTGACCCGGGCCGGGACATGTCACAGCCCCCGGCCGGTCGGCGGCTTCTGAGCCGACTAGGGCGGCCGCTATAGGAGGCCGCCGCTCGTGTTGAAGCTGTCCTCATGGTCGACGTCCGGCGGCGCGTCCGGCATCATCTTGGCAGTGCCGGCCGTCAGGTAGCCGGCCACGCCGGGCGTGCCGCCTGTCACATGGACAGGAACGGTCAGAGGGGAGCGGAGGGACTGATGGGAGAGTGGGTACCGTACCGTGGCAAAGGCGGGGCGGGGTGGAAATGGTGCCGCAAAAACACGCCGTAGGTAAATGAGACTAAACTCAGTGTGGTTCTATAATTCAAAATATGTCCTTACCCTGCGCCATTCCTACCTTATGCCATTCCTTTTTCACTTGAGTCCCTTTCACACTGCAGACTCATTACAGACGATTTTAGCCTGCAGACGACACCACGGGCTAAATATTAAACCCAGCTATCTGGTACCCATTTCCCACTCTCAGAGAACTCCCACTCTGGCCGCTCCGCGGTCCTCACCGGTGAGGTAGCCGGCCGTGGTCGTACTGGTGATGAAGAGGTCGTGCTTCTGGTCACGGTACTCGGGCCACACCTGCGACCGGTTCAGGATCGCAGACACCTGCTCGCCGTGCTGCAGGCTGCGTGTCATCGCCTTCAACGCCTTCACGATCTGAGCCTTCACGGCCGCTGGGTTGTCCGACTCGAGTCTGACGGCCACGGCAGGAAGGGGGAAGCGTCAGCGAAGGAACGAAGTCAGCTTGAAAATGATGAACAGCGTGAGGGTTGACACTAATTGATCACGATATCACTCTACTGATCTACAACGAATCATTCCGTCCCCGGCCTCATTTGGGCCAATGCTTGACGCCTGAATCGCCCTCAGAAAATAAGCCATGGTCGACAAACCACCGCCTCCCCCCCCCCGGTCGTCCCCTCCCCGGAGTACCGACCTGCCGTCAAGCAGTGTCAGCAGGTACTGGACCAGCTTGGCGTCCAGGGCCTGCTGCACGAGCGGCTCGCTGTCTCGAGAGAACAGCCGGTAGAGCGTGTCGCACGCCACGCCCACCATGTCGCGGCGCGCCTTCATGGCGTGCACCAGCGGACTGATACACTCGGACTGACCGATACTCTTCGTACATGCCTGAGGAGGAGAGAGGTGTGAATACTGTGGTTCATGTTGGTTAACATTTGCGATGTAACAGCACAGCTATAGTGTATGAAGGACATACGATAGCTTTCTTGTAGCCAGGCAAGTAAAAGGCCTGAAGTGTTTTTATTTGCCTAGAAACCACATATTACAATGCCACGGCATGCCGCTTATTTTCCGGTATGTACCCTTCATTTTCCCGGCAAAACCGCCCGCAAAGCCGGCATATTGCCCGATTCACATAGTTCACTGTAAACGAACTGTAAATTTTTATACTGCTAACGGGATAAATCAGCCACAGTACACCTTTACGCGGCCCCCGGTGCACTTGATCACTTCACAAAATGACCTTCTCGAGCGTATCAGCTGACCCGGTGTGATTTTCACTGACCTCGTTATCAGCGAGCTGGTGGACGATCATCAGACAGGCCCGCAGCACGCCGTCGTTTTTACCATTCATCGCCTTGAACAGGCGCGGAATGTGGCCCTGTGGAGGGGAGGAACCAGAGACGGTCAGAGAAAAATATACTCGCCTCGGTCACTTACAGTATGCCACGGCATAGCCTTTAGGCCCCTTAGTTCCCAACACGAAGTGTGATATTTTGTAGGCAGGGACAGCATGGCACCGTGCACCATCGGTCCACAGCTCGACTCTTACAATAACAGCCACGATAAGACATCCAGGAAATAACTCGACGGACTTTTACCGCGATAAATACCATAAATGGCGTTCAGTTGACGGACGATAAGGCAGGGCCAGGGAAGTGTGGCGACGATTCAAGGACGCAGCTCACATGGCGCATTTGAGCGCGACATGGAATCGACGGACAGACGCCACTCACTCCACAAACTTCAAGGTTCAGAAAAATATAAGCGATGTGATCACGAATATGTGGCGTATGTATTCACATTTAAGACGTGTCTTAAAAGCATTTTTTTGTGACATTCACACCTAAGTTATGTGCTCACACACATTGCGCACAAAATAAATATTCACACCTAATTGGAGCTTAGTAGACACACCAGCGATTTCATATACACAAGTATTTTGAGCGAACAGTGGAGCGTACAGTGTTTGACGGGTACAGTACCATACCCCGCCCTCTCCGTCGCCTCACCTGTGCGGGCAGCGCGTCGAGCAGCGCCGGCTGGGCGTGCAGCAGCTGCACGGTGGCCGTGGCCACCATCTCCAGCACGTCCGGCTGGCCGGGCGGCGCCTGCTGCATCAGCGAGAGCGCCGTGTCCAGCAGCTCGGTCAGAAACTCCCGCGGACGGCGCAGCACCCAGCCAGGGTTGGCGACGAACAGACGCAGGAACACGCCGCCCACCACCACCTCGCCCTAGGGGCGAGGGAGGGTTGAGTGTCAGAAAAAGTACTCAAGTGTTATCTGAGTGTCGTGTTAGACATGTGTCACCAGCTCAGCAAACGGGCTGTGTGTGGCTCTTAATACCTGAACGTTGGTGAACTGCACAGCAAAGTTGTCAGGCAGCTTCCATGTGGCGTTCGGGTCGGCTCGCTGCTTCTGGTAGAACCTGCGAACAAGGAGCAACATGGTAAATGGTCATTAACGAAACGTTATTTCTTCACACTTGCATGGGGCCTTTTCCCAGTTATTCAACATACGTCAGTTACTACATATAACAACAATTCACCCATACTCCTTACCGCAACATAAGCCATATTCGCCCTTCGCTAAAACATTTTGACTCCATCACGATAAAATATAATATTCCTTCACTGCACCTTTCAATTCCTCCTCACGTCCCCCTATCCTTCTCTTTTCCCTTGCGTGTCCCCTCACCCTTTCCACCCCACCCACTCACGCCACTTTGAGCCGCCGCACGGTGTCGCAGATCTTCTCGCGCGCCTCGTCGTTCCAGATGAGCTCCGGGTTCTCCTGCACCGACTCGAACATGTGAACGCTGCTCTCGGGTGAGTCGCGCATCGCGTCCATGTAGAGCGGTGGTAGGAAACGCAGCAGCGTCAGACGAACCTGAGGCGGAACAACGGGAGTCGCGGTCAGGAGCAAGTGAAATGAGACGCTACAATAACGCTACAAAGAACATCAAGAAACGGCATGAAGTACTGCCTAGTTAGAATGAAGAGAACCTAGAGACAGACAAAAAAGTGATCATACTTTACATTGCAAAGGCGTTTCCGACCAGTTATAAGCATGGCCGCATTACAAATGTGAAATGAATAACTAATCAGCCGCTAAATTTCAGGTCCTTGACGAGCACTGAATAACTAACCTTCGGTCCGACCAGTTTGTCGGCCAGCATTTTGGCCAGCAGCTCTGCCGTCTTGTTTCGGACGTCCGGGTGGGTGGCGTTACAGAACAGGTCCAGCAGGTAAATCACCGCGCCTGGAACGACAAAATACAGCGGTGACTGAACAGTCTCATCGGACGGGAGGTAGTTCCAGACTTGCACGAAAATATCTGCCAGTGAATTATTCAACCAGAAATAAAACAATTAGTTCCCTGTCAACAGTCTTCAATGTCAATTCACATGAGACCAAATGTCTATATTATAGTTGCATTCTAACAAACTAAATAGCTAAGTAAGTAGAACATAGACGAGAAGACAAATGATGATGATGATGATTTGTAGCTCTAGGACGCACCAGCAGCGAGGCTATATCGCGCCCAACGACATGACGAAGAAACTTTCTAGCATCCATCTTAATGTCCTTAGCCTTAGAATCAAAACAGGTCAGCCAGCGCCGCACACCCCCGCGGCGCCTTACCGCGACTCATGCTGTCCTTGACGATTTTGGTGTTGGACATGAGCGCGTGCAGCGTGTCCAGGGACTGCAGCAGCGCCGACGGCAGGCTGTGCAGCAGCAGCAGCAGCGACGTCACCACCTCGGAGGCCGCGATGTCGTTCACACACTCCTGTGGAGCGGCGGGAACATGACCAACGTTAAATTAGAACTGCGCTAGCAACGTGTTCCACATGCATCGTATATCGAATGATGGTCACAGAAGCGATGAGACGATTGTTTGCAAATAGATAACGGTGGTTGATGAACGTGGTTGATGAACGAGGTCGATGAACGACACGGGAATTTGAAACTTTGGACTGGCGAGTGGCATCCACCTAAAAAGAGCACAAAACCACTAACAAAATCACCAAACAGAGCCCACAACCAATAAGCCTAGTATCATCCTCCCTCAGACCTCAGCGATCTCCCGCTCCGCCCCTCCGCACCTGGTTTCCGGTGACACAGGAGATGGCGTTCAGGGCCCGCTGCTGTACCCCGGTCATCCCCTCCAGACGGAGCAGTCCGAACAGTAGAGAGAAGTGGCCGATACACTGGAACTCCACGCCTGAAACACCAGCGAGGGCGAGAGTGACGGAGACGTGGTGATCGAGAAATGAGTGAGGGTAGTCCAATTAAAGCAGGAATAACTGAATTGAGTTGAATGAGGAGCAGATATCGATGGGGTCAAAGCCATTTACGGAGAAAAAATCGGCAGGAGGTTCACAATAAGCAAGGCGATACAGACCCTTGGAAGTAAGCTGCAGCTTTGGGGCTATACTTCCCGTTTGCAATTGATGCGCAGGCAACGTGCATACAACAAAACATCGCATGTCTACTTTTTACAGTACCAAGCCTGCAGCTTTCACTTTGGTCGCTGATTTGACGCCTCAAGCGTTCTCGCGATCGTGCAAATGCCCAATAAAACGCAACATGAAATTCTGAAAAATTATGGTAGTTTTACCTTACGAAAAACTAGCATGAAAAATTAAAAAAACTTATACATCTAGCAACACCACTGCCATCAAGCATGACAGAAAGCTGACTTCTTCTTTTCGGTCATATTTTTTATGAAAAAAAAACGGATGGTAGACGAAATTAGAAAATTTCCAATGACACTAAGACATTTATGGGCATCATTTGCCTGTCTTGCCAGTCGCATGCTACAAGCTTTTCCATCACTGGCTTTTCATGCTAACATTGACAGCGTGCGGCGGGCCAGCCCACACGGACCGACCCCTCACCTAATTCCCGCGGCTCCGCTGTAAAAACCCCGCACAAGGGACATTAGTGCCAAAACGTGTACACAGCGTACCAGCGTTTAGTGTGCACCCGTATGGCGGATGGGTGGGGAAAACACTGATGAAGTATCCATACACAGGTAAACGAATGAAATTCTATTCAGCTCCATGATTCAAACACGTCAGGTCCCGAATAATACACGCAGCAAAATATACAACAAATAACAGGACAATGCTGAAAGGATATTTACATGGGTTTCGCAGCTAATTGCAATAGGTAAAATATTATTGAACTTCTATAAAATATTAATAGGTAAAAGGTAAAATATTATTGAACGTGTATTGTATTGTGCAGTGCGTGAATCATCGACTATCCGAGTCGACGGAACATTACTGTGCAACTGAAGCCAGGTATTACTAAAAAAAACTGATATTATATTCATCGAAACCTCAAGACCAAACATCGCACTTTCATGCCTGTGTCATTCTTAGTACCGACATTATACAGCAGACATCCCAGGTCCCAAGCCGTCACAGGACCACTCAAGCACCACACACCTGCCCAAATCGCCTCGCCCTCCCCCCCCCCCCATTCACATACCTGGATTGTTTTGTATGACGTTGGCGAGCGCCTCGAGCGCCATCTCGGCGTGTTTCACCTTGGTGCCGCTGGCGTCGCTGGTGTCGGCCGGCGAGGCAGCCATAGCCTGCAGGCTATGCAGGTACTGCGCCAGGGAGCCGATAAAGTCCAGCAGGTCGATGGCCAGGCCCTTGGGGTTCTGAAACAGACAGAAGTAATGGCAGCAATGGGGCGGGGATGGTGCAGCCAGAAAGAAGGGAAAATAGACCAAGAGGCCGTCCACACTTTTTGGCTCTCAAACAAATACGGTTAGTTTCATTTAAGGCTGAGAAAAAAATCGAGCCTTTATAGGAACGGTACTTATAAAAAGACAGACAGAAGCCAGTCGCAAACGTCTTACACTTAACTTCACCGTCTCCACCTACTACGAAATCCCAGTGCCTTACCTCGAGCGGGAAGGAGGGCTGCTGGTTGTAGACCCTGACGAAGATGTTGCCCACCACCAGTTCGTCCTTGTGCGCCGAAAAGCGGAACTCGGCGCCGAAGTTGGGGTCGCTCTCGCCGGTGCGTATCTTGCTCGTCTGTTGCTCCTTGAGGAACTCCCGCAGCTCGGTCCGGGTGCTGTTGTCCCAGATGATGTACGGACTCTCCGTGTTGCTGTTGAGCAGCTTTAGAACCTGTCGGACGCAACGGACAGCGTCGGTCATTGAACGTCCGAAAGGTGAAGATCGAAGTAGATTTCAGGGCTTACAAGTCCACCTCAGTCCCACATGAGTCTGTGGTCCAGCGCACTCCTTACGTCATGTTCCCGCCCTTATCTCCGGGTCTGCAGCTCAAAACCCCAATCTCGGGTCTGCTCTATTTCAAGACGTCTCCGAGACCTGCAACCTTCACCAATCCCAGAACTTATCCGATCTTGCTAGTCAGGCTCTATTGGTCCTTGCCCCGCCCTAACCTCCCCACCGCCACGCTATTTATCCCTCTTCCGTCCCGCACCTCGTTCATTTTGTACTGTCGCAGCAGGTGGACCAGGTAGGGTGTCAGCATGGCCATCAGAGCAGCGTCGATCGCCTTGTTGGGCGGTGTCTCTTCGTCGCCGGTCAGGTAGCCGGCCAGACGGGCCAGGGCCAGCAGCGACTTCTTGGCCAGCGTGTTGGCGGCCTCCTGAAGGTCAGAGCGAATACGAAATCGTCAGTGGATGAGGAAAGAGTACCAATCATCCGCGACAAATATTCAAGAATCTATCTTAACAATTACGCAGCATCGTACCCCGATCATTGGAATCAGAAGCGAGTTACACTAAAACCATTCCTAATGCCTATATCCCAACCAACGATCCGAGCTCGCCAGTCTCAAGTCAGCCTCGAGGTTCATCACTCTTGTCAGCGACCGTCGCCCTCTCTTCCCCTCCCTCTTCCTCACCTGTTGGTTGGAGCTCTCCGACTTTTCCACGCCTCCCTCGTCGAGTGTGAAGTCGTAGTAGAAGAGGAAGAGCAGCAGGTGCCACAGCACGCCGGCCTGCATCATGTGTAGCTGGAGGATCGAGTCGGCCGCAAACGCCGACACGCACTCCACGCCGATCACGCAGAGGTGGGTCAGACGCTGCCGGAGGGAGGGACGGGCGTCAGGTCAGATGGATTCAGCGAGGTTTGAACGTCAGCCAAAGCAATGGGTTAGACGTGAAGGGTGCGGGACAACTGGTCCAAAGTGAGGGAGCAGCAGCTGTCTGATAGCTGAGACTGCGATCAAATAAAAGTCTTCCGCTGATTCTGGGCTCGAATGGCAATAACTACAGCCCAAAATAAACGAGAACATTGCAAGACAACATCTACATTTAACCTCTTGACTGTCTGAAGTTGAAGTTTGCAACAAGGCTCACAAATATGTGAATATAAGACCTATCTTCCCATATAAAATGACCCTTACTTCCATTCTAATCTAGTCTATCCATCATGCACCAGCCCCCTCCCGTCTCTCACCTTATAATAGAGCACTCTGCAGAGGTCCTGGATGATCTGTGGCATCTCGATGAGTTTATCCCTACACTGCTGGAACTGGGCGGCCACCGTGTAGCAGCGCGACACGTGAGAGCACACCTGTACGGCCACGTCCTCTGGCCGGGACGACTTGGAGAGCACCGAGCAGCACCGGTTGTACGCCGACTGCAGCAGCTGTGGGCGGGCGGGGACGAAAGGTGCTTAAATAGGTCAGTCGTATAATAGACGCAATGCGCAAGTTTGCCGGTTTGAGAAGAGGGCTGAAGATAGCACATCAAGGGCCTACACGTATTGTGTTATAAGGTTGAGCTAGAAATTATAGGGTAGCAGCTAGCCAACGACTATCTTATTACCGGAAACAGACCAAACCTCGATTTCCCCATCTTGATTTCCCACAACCCTTACCTCTTGTTTTCCCTCTTTCCCTACCTCGAGTCCCCTCTCCCTGCGCAGTTCCTCGGCGTTCAGTGCCCAGCAGCGGACGGTGTAGTAGGCTCTCTCCCCCTCTCCCTCTACTCTCCTCACCTCGAGTCCCCTCTCCCGGCGCAGCTCCTCGGCGTTGAGTGCCGAGCACCGGACGGTGTAGTAGGCCACCTCGGCAGCGGCAGACAGCAGCGGCGCCGCCTTGCTGAACAGCTGGTCGTCCTCGGTCTCCATGCGGATGGTGGCCACCAACATCGGGTAACCGGCGTACTTGTACGGACGCAGCTCTGGAAGAGAGATACATTTCACTTAGCCAGATGTAACTCTTAGACCGACTGACACATCATTTGGGAAAGGATGGAACTGTCCCGAAGCACGCTAGTGACGAAACGAGGCACTATGCTTACGAAGCTCTGGGACCGAGAAAAATTGATAAATAATGTGTCTCTGTTCCTGTGCGAACGAATATCCGAGACCAAAAGACATTGAGCAAGAATTCTATCTCACTTACCGTCGCCGTATCGTGAGAAGAGGATGCTCTGGGTCCGCAGGATGAGTACGATGTTGTGCGGGTCAGGGCCGTCCACAGTCCGTGCCGACCGGCTGCACAGGAACTCGTACGCCCGGTTCACGTCCTCAAACTTATCCTGCAAACAAAGGGGGAGACGAAGTCAATTGACAATACAAACGAATTAGGCAAGGGCCAATTACAGGCCCTTGCCTAACAGGCCCTTACCGGGTCGAGCTCTATACCAGTACGAGTACAGGGAAGCAGGATGTGCGCCTGCGGGCCAAATGCTGACATATTGCAGAAACATACCAAAATACGTCTGCCGATTACTAGCAATGTAGGTGGAGAGTTGGATCGAGCAAACTTACCCTGCCGTCGGGATTTTTGTCCGGGTGGTACTTCTGCGCCAGTCGGAAGTAGGCCTTCCGCACGTGATTCTGGTCGTGGCTCTGTCCGGGCTCGAGGCCCAGCACCCCCAGGGCGTCGTCCACCGACATACTGGGCGGCTTCTTTTCCACCTCGCGCTTCCAGGCGAGTAGCACGTCCTTTAGCAGAGCCACCTGACGAAGGGTGAGCGGGGGAGGTTAGAGCCTAGAACTGGGGGGCAGTGTCACAGGCGGACGGTGTCGTGGCTGAGGTGACAGCTACAAGGAAAGGTGAGTAAAGTCGTTACTCGAAAATTTCATAGCGGACTGGTGGTAACGGTTATTTCTACATGAATGACGACGAACAGCGAGTAACGTTTGCGTCCGATGTTTTCCTCGACAACGTTGAAAATACCGGACACCAGACTAACTAGCCCTCCACACACGCAGTCCACCGCGGCTCCTCCCCTGCGTCTCACCGGGTCGCCAATCGGCCAGTCGGGGAATCGACTCGTGTCACACAGGTGGCGCAGGTAGAAAATGCTGCAGAACAGCTCCGACTCCAGCTGCGGATACACCACGTGTGGCATCGGACAGTACTGGTAAATGGCCCGCGTGTTGGAGCGCAGCCGGGGCGAAAAGTCGGCCAGGTGAGCCGCGATCCGGCCGATCATCATCTTCCTGCGGGACGGGGAGAGAGAAGGGGAGGTGTCAGAATGAGGGTGCTGCGATAGTGTGCGAGAGAGTGAGAATGGTGATTGAGATTCCCAGCGAGAGTTAGAGAAACAGCAAACCAGTACTGGTCCCCAATGTAACACTGATTAGTGATTAAGTTATCCTGAGCGGTTTGTGCAAGTTTGTGCTTCTTGACATTACTTCACGCGCTTTCTTTTCGGGAAATACCTAGCAAGCCACATGCTCGGGCAAATCCAAGTTTACCGCACCTCCGAGCATGCATGGTCGTTAATCATTTATTCTTCGTGTCTGGTCACCAGACTGATTCCAGGCTTCCCCGCGCTGTCTGACGTCCCCTCACCTCATCTGGTTGTTCCAGATGACCTCTGGCGTGTCGAACTCTCCCAGGTAGATCTGGGCGAACTTTTCGGCGCCGTAGTTGTGCAGGTAGCAGACCATGGCCTCGGGTACCAGCTGGCCCAGAATGCTCCGCTGCATCAGGTCACTGCCCTTCTGCTGCGAGAAGGACGGCATAGTTAGGTCTGGGTCATCCAAAGATTCATGCGAGACATCTTTGTTCTTACCATAGAATGGCACACCATGAAACCATTAGACATTTGTTATACATATTCGACATGCTTACTAAACAACTTTGGACCAGCAGCTTCAGTCTGTCAGGTGTCATTGCACAATGTTTTCTGCAAATTGTCACCAGCGAATAGACGCTTTTAACAAGCTGGCCTTGAATTAACCTCATGTTACTGATTCATCGAATCGTGATTAGTCTCATTCATCTCACCTCCTCTGACCGGAAGGCCTGCGAGGTGTGCGTCAGCTGGAGGAACTTTGCGATCGGCTGCACGTTCGAGCCCGTGTACATCAAGATGAAGAAGTAGACGCCCGTCAGGTACAGCTTCGAAGCCACCGGGTTGTCCTGAAAAACACACAAGATACGTCATAACCGAAGGTTTGTGATCAATAGTTAAAACACAACCCATTGGTTAAAATTGAATATTGAAAAACAAACCTGAGTTCTCTTTTCGCAAAAGCTATCTGAGGTCTGAATACTTAACGAAAACAAGGTATAATTTGTGACTAGAGCAGGCAGTCAGCACACCAAAAGTCGACTGTGAGAGAGTTGTAGAGTGGTATAAGTTTTCCGACACTCACCCTGACGACGGCGGTGAGCAGCGTGGCCACCTTCTCCACCAGGATGGGGTCGAAGGTGAGCAGCAGCTGGACGATGTGCGGCAGACAGGACGGCTCGGAGAGCAGCCGCTTCACCCTCGGGAGTGGCCGGATCACAGCGCCGTCAGCGTCACTGGGGAGGGAGGGGGTACACAGCAGTCAGTCACTGGTAGTCACAGGAAGGGTCATACACAGTGGTCAGAGTCACTGCAGTGAGGGGACAGCCTCTTCACCCGCGGCAGAGGTCAGATCACAGCACCGTCAGCGTCGCTGCAGTCAGCAGATGGCATAATTTATGGTACACAGTCAGCTCTCACCGCAGTCATGAGGGAGGGAGGGGGAAGCAGCCAACAGGACAGACTAGGCCCACCCTGATGCCTGCTGCTTACACCGTGGAAACATTACATCAATAGGGATTCAGGGGACGGCCATAGTGCATCCTTCACCCTCCCTGTCACTCACCGGCTGGGGTAGAAGTCGCACATGGTGATGAAGATGTTCAGGATGGTCACGGCCATGTCTGTCTCATTCATGACGGCCTGTCCGGTGGCGAGCAGGGTCCATCGGAGCTGCGGCACCGCCTGCAGACTGCGCCAGCCGTCCATACCCTGGGCCCAGCAGCGCGAGCGCGCCGACAGCGTGCCGTCCTCCCAGAAACCGCGCATCTGGCGAGAAGGAGGGAGTGCGAGCTCGTGTGGGATGGCGAAGGTCGGTGGCGGGCGAACAGAGAAGTCTGGACAGTGCCAGCAGTTGGAGTAGAGACAATTTGGTCACACGGCATGAACAAGCTCAACAGGAACAGAGATCTGGTTTAATGAAATCGTAAAAATATCACATTAAAAATGGCAGCCGACGGCTTTTACCAACGACACTGATTTCAGCCAAGCAGCCAGAAACTACTATCAAACAGCATATCTCACGAAAACCTCCCCGTATCCCACTGGCCACACGTCTGTCCTCACCTCTTTGAAGGTGTACGGCCCCTGCCGATCCTGTCTGTCGCCATCCGCCGGTTTGAAGTACCACTCCCGCTCGCCACTCTCGGCGTCTGCCTCGCCGTACTCGATCACATTCGACTGGGTCGGCACGTACGCTCTGAGAGAACGGGGCAGACGGTGTCAGCAGGACGTGACGTTCGACCTACAAGACTTGGCAGAAGATATGCTAGGGTACGGATGTAACTAAGCATGGCAGGTGTCAGAGGATGGATCAAGGGGAAAATGCGTAGCAGCTCAAAAAATGTATGGTTACGATTTCCGTCCAGAGATCCGTTTGATCGACGATAATCCTGATCTGTCATAACACAATCGTAGTTTAAAATTGGGTATCATCGGCTTCCTCTCGTGACGGGCAACACGCTCGTTTTTTCCGCGAAGCTCTAGCTCGATCAGGGGCCAAACGCGAGTGGGGGGGGGTCGTACCAACCCCCCCCCTTGTGCCGTCGAAGGACGCAAAATGGCCTGTGCCGGCGAGGGTTAAACAAGTAGCCTGCCGAGCAGGAACGCTCACTATCCCTATCAGTATCCATAGAGATCAATCATATAGCGACTCTTTCTCTTACGCTACCAAGTCAACGAAAAACATTACTGCCGCACCACACCCGCCATGTGACCCGACCGCCACTCACCTGGATGTGTGCAGGTGTGAGAGGGTGACCAGGTCGGCCAGCACCTTCACCCCGCCCGCGTCCAGCACGTCCTTGACGTTCCGCTGGTTCAGGATCAGCTTGCTGATGAAGAGGATCAGTCGGTCCCGCTCGGCACGGTCCGTGCACTGGTGGCGGAGAGAGGACACGGGTCAGTCGAGGCAGTGAGTCACGGGTCACGGGCGCTCGTCATGGTCAACGTCATGGCTACGGTAACGGCCGCTTATTACAACGTGACGCTTATGGGTTACACTTACAACTCACGATACCATCCTACTGCCGGTGAGCGCCTACCTCAGAGGGTATCAGCAAATAAAACAGAGCACCAAAAGTGGCAAAGTTAGCTCATGGCTTGCTACATCCCATTTCGAGGCTCGAGTAAGACTCACCCGTTCCAGCATGCTGACGATGTACTTTGTGTCGGAGAAGTGGCCAATGTCCTCGTGGTGACGTCCGTACACGATGGCCATCGCCTGCAGACACATACACTTCATGGCCACCTTGGGCGTCAGCAAGAACCGGTGGTACAGGTCGCTGAAGAACTCGAAACTGTGGGAGGCGAGACGGGAGGGGCGGGTTAAGAATACTGTCAGGGAGGCGGAAAAGAAGTTCGCGCTTTGGCTGCGTGATTGGCACACTAAGCCGCAAAATGAGATTAAAAAGGATGTAATAATTAATGATGATATTATTAATTGTCACGGCCGCTACTCCCCTAAATTAAACATTTAGCGAGGCAGCAAGCCCCAGCTAAATAGCTTTTCCGGCCCAATACTACTGAAAAATTCCGTTAACTGTCCGTCTCCCTGCATTCTGTTACGACTCCCGTGCCACCCTCTACTCACGACTTTCTAATTGGCGAGTCGTCGAGCTGCCGGGCCTCGTCCTGCTCCAGCAGCAGGCGCAGGTAATAGTCGCCGATCTGAATCTCGTCCTGCAGACAGTGGTACTGGACCTGCAGCGGCACACAAGGTCACGGCCGGTCAGGTGGTTAGATCAGGTGATACGCTCAAACCATTACAGCGAAGTATAATGCACCATCCACAAATTTTATGACCTCCGTCAGCTGTTTCCGGCAGAATTCATCTTCTCACTCTTTCCTTTCCATTCCGATGCCCAATTTTCTATAAACCGTCCAAATTTACCTCGAACTCTGTGTGGTTCCAGGAGATATCCACGCTGCCGCCCAGGTCTCGGTCTGTGCTGAAGTTCCGCATCTCGTTCTCCAGCGCCTCCCGTAGCTCCTCCCGAGTCTGTCAGAGAGCGAAGTTATATTGTAAGTTGCACGTCATACTCAATTTTAGAATACAGCCTAGGGCATTTTATTTCCGCAACAAGAATTAACGTTTCTCATAGGCAGCAACCTACAGTTTTAATACGACCCACCGTACCTTGAAGTTCCAGATGAGGTGTGGCAGCGCGTGGTCCCGGTTGAACTGGTAGTAGAAGAGCCGCCAGTTTTTCTCCGATTTGACACGCTCGCGTCTCCGGCGCAGCACAACCGGCCGCTCTCTGACCTTCTCTTCCGTTGTCTTTTCGTAGCCCATTCGTGTCCGCCAATGTTGTAGCGCGACCTGAAGGGTAGAGGGAACGATAATAGCTGGAACGTGGGACATTGGAGTGGATTTGACCCGGGAGAGAAGTGTCAAAGGTACGAAGGCGACGCAATGTCAGCGACAAATGCATCTGAAATCATCCGAACGGTGGCCTAGGAATTCTGCTATGAGTGCAGAATACGTGTGTCCCAGACGCTCCTATATTATACATCCGATACACCTCTTCTCCCATTAAGCCCTCCATTCTCCAAACAGCCTATCAATTCCTCACCTCCACATGTTTCTCGACAAACTTCTCGGCGTTTCGGATCTGCTGGTTCAGGGCGCGCAGGTGGGGGTTGACGGGCCGGCCGGCCTGGTCGGTGGCCAACTGCAGGTTGTCGCGCGTGTTGAGCCGTTCCACGTCGTCGGCCGGTACCGACTCCTCAGAGTCGAGGAACGCCAGCAGACCGGGCGGCTGTGGGGGAGAGGTCAGCGAGGCTAGGTCAGCCGTCGAATCAGGGGAATCACAGATTATACCGAGTCAGAATAATGTCAGCAAGTATTGGGCACATCCGTAAGTTTCCGTTAAATTGTTCTGAAACTGAAACTAATATAAATCATGTACGAAATGTACCAGAATGTATGTAATGTACGACATCACTGACAAGGTAAAACCTTTATTGAATCTCCGTATATCAACCGGAAATGTAGGCGGCAATATGGCATGTTAAGAAACAGCTTTGAGCAATTGTCCAACACATCAGTGAGCAAGATTTCTGGGTGTCCTTGAATCTCGTGCTGGCAAGCTTTATCGGTACACACGCTGAACACTGTTGACATTCATACCTTCATAATGTTGATACTCTTGGGTTTATCGCATCACATATGTACATCGCGCCATTGCAGTGGAGCGATGACAATGCATTGTCAAACTTATGTTCGTTATACGGTGATGCACAATAAACAGCACCTGCATGAATAAGCGAAAAATGACCATTTTCATTCGATCGTCCTCGTTGTGCTGACCTTTGACCCACAGCGCTGCCCGTCGCCGGCCGTCGCCGAATAGGAGACGACTCGGCTCGTATTACGGACCGCAGGCAGGGGTGGCGGCGGGGGCGGGGATGGGAGGGAATCGGACCGGACTCGGAGACACACAAGACGACGGGACGACGCAGTCGGAGAGGAGCCGTGGAGACGTGAGGAAGTTACACAAGGAGGGAGGAATATACAGAGTTTACGGTCACTATAATTCAGCTCTGTGTCAGCTTATGATGAGTAGAGTGATGTTATCAGTGAAAAGTGGAAGTGACTATCATCGCGGAACTGCTGCCCTTACAGTGGTGTCACGGCAGTGTTGTCCCTCAATGTGATAGCAGAGGGGTCACTGGACTGCTGCGAGAGCTTCAAGGCAAGGAAGCTCAGTTGCCGGGCTGATGGAGCGAAACATGGCTTCGGCTCATCCCCGCTGAGCATAGCATATTCAGACAAAACAACAGAAAACGCACCATAGCCGAGTAGCCGCCGAGGCGGTGTGACCCAGCGAGGTCAGGTCAATGACGTGAGGTCAAAACGACTGTTTCCGCCCGGGATCGAACCGGGGACCTTCCGCGTGTTAGGCGGATGTGATAACCACTACACCACGGAAACAGCTGGCCATTTCACGAAGCCTGTGCGGCGCGGGACGGCGGCTGGGCTAAGGAGTGCCAGTCTCGAGGGCCCGAGGGGGTCAGCCGTCAGGTCAGTGACCTAACCGGTCAACGTTCAGCAACAACCAGAATCTCAATACTCTGCTCGTTAGGGGTCATAGCTCAGGACTCAGGTGGTCCAGGTAAGGTGATGGCTACATTTGAGAGCTAAGAGGGTACGGGGATCGAACACTGCACACCAGCGACCAGCTGGGTTTACAAACAGGGCAATTGCCAATGAGCCGTTGGCAGCATCCATGAATTATGTTCTCGCTTGGTCAAACGTATGCAGAATCTATGACTTGAGAGCCTGCAGTGGCTCAAGGCCAGTTGTAATGCTGGGATACTGGCCCTAATACAATGACCTTGGGCAGTCGAAGACAGTTTCGGACATGTGGTTATGTCGGTGACCGGTGCAAAAATGCCAGTGACCAGTGACCACCATCGCGGGCCTGCCGTCAGACGCAGTGTCTGAAGACAGTCTCGTGCCCCAATGCTGAAGAGGTCATTGTCAGCGTGGAGCGGAGCAGCACAGCTCAAGTCATCCAATGTGAGGCCGCGGTGCAGCTGATTTCGGGCCTGAAATAGATAAATGTCCGAACCAGAAATTCGGTCCTCACGGAGTACAACTTTCCGTATAACGCAGGACATCCAACCGCTAACGAGTCCGACGAAACAACACGGGGTCAAGCCAACAGCAAGAGGTCAAAACGACTGTTTCCGCCCGGGATCGAACCGGGGACCTTCCGCGTGTTAGGCGGATGTGATAACCACTACACCACGGAAACAGCTGACGACCTCACGAGGCCCTTGCGGCGCGGGACGGCGCCTCAGTCGCAGAGTCATGTTTTGGGTCCAGAAAGACTTGACGCGATAGCCAAGACGGCAGTCCCAAGGCGGTGACATGGGAGTTGAGCCATGGCGAGAGCGGGATACGAGATGCGCCGGTGGATGAGCGGCTGCCGGTCACCATTCTGCCGTGAATCAACTGCTCCAAGGACCAGCTTCAGCTGAACACCAGGGAAATCTTCCTTACAACTCCTGATTCAGTCCGACGAACGGCCGCCTAGAAGCACTGGATTGTCCTAGAGACGCCGCCGCGTGGGTTTGGGCTCCGGAACGACGGCTCGGCCTCGAGGGAGGATTGTTTACCAGAGGGAGCGGAGAGCCATCATCCTCCCGACGGAATAAGAGCACAAGCTCTGTGTCCCTGTTCGCAAGATCTGCAGCATCACTCATGCCGAGTTGGGGGATTTCCTTGGAACCCTTGAGATGTTTGTGCAACTGGAGGTAGACTCGGCGGACAGCCCTGTGAACAAGGGCGCAGGCGCAGCTGGCCCGACATTCTTCAGAATTCATGGAAGATCGGATGCCGATGCCAGTTCTCTCGAAGTGCCGTGACGAGGCAATGAACGTCCGTGTACAGGACACCGAAGACACTCGCAGAGAAATGGATTTCGTCTCTCATACGCATGCCAGCAAATCAGCGACTGTCGTGCTTAGCAGCGGACAGCCCGGTGCAGGAAAAGTGCCAGAGCTGGAGCAAATGCTGAAACTTGGACTTTCTGGCAAAACGAGAACGCACCCTACACACGTAGCAGAAAGAGAGGAGGATCACAACAGGTCAAACGAGCAGCGAAAGATCAAAACGACTGTTTCCGCCCGGGATCGAACCGGGGACCTTCCGCGTGTTAGGCGGATGTGATAACCACTACACCACGGAAACAGCTGACCGGCCGCCGGGGCCTGTGCGGGGCAGGCCGGCGGCTGAACGAAAGTTATATCTGACAACTGGGCGTGTCTTACCTCAGTGAAAGTGGTCAATGACTCCAATGCACACTGGGCCGGGGGTCCGGAAAAGTGCTAGAAATTATTTGTGATTGAGTTGTTGATCTCAGTGACAAGCAAACATGCTAAAAACGAAGTGGGGCTGCTTAACCCTCGCCGGACCTATTGTCGGACCCCCCACCCCCTCGGCCGGCCGAGGGGGGAGGGTTGGTACGACTCCTTTTTGCCGTTTCGCCCCTAATGGAGCTAGAGCCTCGCGGAAAAAACAAGCGTGTGCGCCGTTTCAAGGCGGAACGATTGATACCCGATTTTAAGGTCCCAGGTCAACCGGTAACCTCTGAGGTGAAGTCAAAAAGCCCAAGTTAGGGTTTGGTTTTTGGCAAATAATTTCGCAAAAAATGGCCGCAGAGCAGCGATTTTGGCACCATCGTGTTCGCCTGGCTCAGGCGCGTCGAATGGTATACTTTTTGTTCGGGTGAGGTCAACTTAAGGTATTGACCTCGAGTCAAGGTCAGTTCAGAGCCCATCAGGCCACGAACTTAATCGAAGGAGGTCGTATCGCATATCATTCGATTCGGGAGGTCTTTCCGAGTCCATTGGTGGCTTTCCCGAGTCGCTGGCTCAATTTGATCATGAGTTATTGACGAGAAACTCCTATGACCGGTGTGACGTCATAAATGACGTCACGGAAGGTCAAAAATGCAAAAGTAAAGCATCGCATCTTGCAAGGAGTGCACGAAATCACGAGTCCGTGTGCTTGAGATAGTTTGAAATCATTCCATGCGCAAAAACAACAGTTTCCTTATTTCCCCATTCACTTTTAATGGTGAGGTCACGTGACCTCGAAGAGTAGCAGGCATTAGCAAAAATTGCGAGTAGGGCATGACAGAAAGATGATTGGTGGTTTGTATGGCATGGCCATTTTTAACGGCTCGAAATAACATTTCTCAAAAAGTCTAACTAAAGAGCAAGTTGTTGTTGATTATCACTGACTTGTGTTTAGGGGTTAATAATGACCACATTTTTGAGTTTGGCCCAGAAATGTTGACAGCATTGTGTGCGTTGATCAATTCTGAGCTCAGGGACATATATTTCATTTAGATTATAAGCGTTTGTTTTTCACAACTTCCAGCGTTTTAAAGAGCGCCGGGCCTTCAGTAGAGCGGCGAGGTGATAATTGCCCCTACATCATGTGGTTTACTGGCGTATATCTCGAAAAGTAGCAGGGAAAAGCAGCAAAGCACCTATATGGAACAAAAGATGAGTAATCAGAGGCTAGTATGAAATGTTCATTTTTAGCCGCTCGAAATAACGTTTTTATAAAAGCCTATTTAAAAAATCGGATATGATTTTAAATTACGTCTTGCAGCTGCTTGCAAACAGCTAGCTTATCCTTGCAGAAAAGCGATGCAATATGTCAGAATGATGTTGGCACAGTGAACAACAGTGCCCTGAACTAGTCTGACAGGAAATTTCGTTCAAAACGACGATTGGTCAACTAATAAATTACGACTAAAGTTCATCATTAAAATCGGTAAATGTGGTGGCCTATAGAGAGTCTAAATTGTCTTGTGTTTGGTTACAACTGACGACCTCAATTTTGACCTTAGGGCAAAACTAGCATCGGAATCGTATTCTTCGATCAATTTGGGATTAAATGATACCTATTTTGTTCATATTGCGGACAGTCAGTTTGGGGGAATTTCTAGCGCTTTTTCAGGCTGCCGGCCTACAGTGCAATGGTCACCATCAGATCGACCAATGGTACTCTCCTATCCAACGGGGGCTGTAGCTCAAGTGGTAGAGCGCTCGCTTAGCATGTGAGAGGTACGGGGATCGATACCCCGCAGCTCCAAGCTTTTCACTTCGAGCACATGAAACTGAAGCAACGGAGTCATCACGCGCAATCCCTTTTCTCTTGGATCTTCAAACGCTCATACGCTCCCTAAAAAAACTTCAATTATATCATAGAAAGGTTTGCAAGGCCTTCTAGCGTCCGCAAAAATCGTCAAGGAAAATACCTCGCGCATCCACTCACCACGGTGCGCGCGAGGAGGTCGGTGGCAGTCTGGTGACCGGTGCACCACAGCGTGATCAGCTGCCGGCTCAGCTGACGGTGGGTGAGCAGCCGTCCGTCGGCCGACTGGGTGAAGAGCGCCGTGTGTAGGTGACGCGGCAGGGCGCCCTCCGCCAGCGCCAGGTCCTGAAGGGGACGGCCGCGTGTGAGAGTCGAAGTCATCGGTTAGGAGTGTGGATGTGGTAATACACGGTTGTGCGCGGTCTTACAAGATGGTTGAAGCGGCTCCGGTTCGTGCTTATTCAATCGTTATTAGTTATTGCAAGTTGGCTTTCTTAACTCCAAGCCCATTCACGACTATCGTCAAGAAAGGCGAGAGGTCCGGACCGCAAGTCAGCCTCAGGAACAACTTACCCACCCCACGTCGTCAAATCCACACACTCTCCACTCCCCCACCCTCTCCACACTACCTCCCGCCCCCAACCCATATCAAAATATGAGCGTCCCACACAAAGTTACGCGTCTCGTACCTGCATCCGCTCGGCAGTGGCGGCGTCGCCCTCCCCGATGATGGCCCTCATCACCAGTCCGGCGCCCTTCACAATCGCCAGAGACGGGTGCTGCGACGGGGCAGAATAAGGGCGTAAATGGCGAGATACGACTGTGGGGACGGGTGCATAGTGCCGGACTCAAGCGTAAATGATTTTCGAGGCGCTGAAAGTTAAACAAAAAGCTTTTGAAGCAAGGTTACTTATAGTCTTTGCAGGAGTTTCAAGAGACTAATGGCAATCGTGAGAGCATTCGTTTGGCTCGAACCACGTCATAGCTAATAAAGCATAGTGGTTATTGCAACGCAAACCTGACGCCAGAGCACGCTTCTTTCCTGAACCTCGTTGGCTATATTTCCACAAGGCTTGCGCACAAATATTTGAATGGACGACGGATTCACTTGGTCAGATCACAAATCGATCTACTCCGCAGCGCTGCCACCCACCAGGAACAGTTTGAAGAGTGAGCGTCCGCGGGCGGCCACCAGCTCCAGCAGGCTGTCGAACTGAGCGCCGTCCGTGGTCTCGCTGTACGGCGCGCACAGGCCGTACGTGAGGAAGTCCAGGAACGCCGACACCACCAGCGCGCCAGTGCCCTGACGCTGGAGAGAAGGCGCAGAGGAGGAACGGCGGTGACGGAACGGCTCAGCGACAGAGTACCAACACGTGAATAACAAACAAAAAGCTAAGCAGAATAGAAAGCAACCATGCATGCCAGAATGCCTACCAGTGAATCACGTACCACCACCACTCTTGTTGATTAACTCTTACCAAGAATATCATGGTCGAATACACGTAGACATAAATCAAATGATATTGTGCATGAAATGAGCTGTCATCTAGTTACTCGATCAAACCTTTAACGGCTACACTGTCAGCCAAGTGGAACCCGTCCCGTTCTCTTACCACGTGCGCGGACCAGACGTCGAGCAGCTTCTCCAGGAAGACCTTCGAGCTGAGCAGGCTGGTCTTGTTGAGCTGCTCCTGCTTGAGGTCGTAGTCGGCGTGCATCGGCTGCAGCAGGGCGGCCAGCATGTCCAGCGCCGCGTGTGTGATGGCGTCGCAGTCCCGCTTCAGGGCCCGTACCACCTTCAGACCGATCTGCTCTCGGAACCTGTCGGGGCAGATCAGGCAGCTGGTCAGGTCAGGCAGGTTACTTAGGTCGGGCTAAGTCCGTCTAAGGTGAATGATACACAGCGGTCTTGTCTGAATTCCCTGTAACTCTCGTATTTTGAGCTGAATCCAAATGATGAAGCTGAATCAACCGCCGACTTGGCCTAAATTCGGCACCTCAGGTACTCAACTTCAAAAGAAAGAGCTGGAGCCAACGAAATGAAGTTAGAAACGGTACCACAGACACTTTACCATCCGACACTGTAGCTAGAACCGATCCCACCACACAACGCCCATTCCAGCCGCAGCTGATCTCTGGCAGACCGTCTCACCCGGGCAGCTGGGTGAACGCGGCGAACCCCGCCTTGCTGGCCACCAGTCGGCGCAGCGCGTGGAACTGGGCCTCCACCACCGTGGCCGGTAGGGCGCCCTGGTCCCCCTCGCGCTGCAGTAGTGATGTCAGCGCCGCGTTGATCAGACGCTCCTTGTTCTCGGCGAACAGGCTCTGTAAGAAGGAGGGGCCATGTCAACGTCGCTAGCTGGTCTGGAAGTCCAAGGTAGCTTGAAAATAGACATTTTACAAAGCTAGCAGTAAATTTAATAAGTGCTTTACGAAAACATTACACACGTTTCGAGCCACGCTCGTTACTCACATCCCGTACCATATATTTAGCTATCCAATCCACGTCCGTATTGCGCTTGGTAATCACAGCTGCCGGTGCAGCGCTCCTGTTTATTCGGTACTCACGCTCCGTGACTCGGTACTAAAACCCCTCGCGGTACTCGGTACTCACATCTCCGGTGACGGCGTGCAGGAGTCCGCTGTATGAGACGTTAGCGTTGAACCTAGCCACTGCATCGGCGGCCGTCCAGGACGGCGGCTGCTGCTGCAACAGCCTGAGACGACCAGGGGAGACAAACTGTCAGTGGAGGGTAGCACAGACACTGCTGCTGCAACAGCCTGACACAGACCAAACAGTCAGGGGAGGGTGACATAGACACTGCTGCTGCAACAGCCTGAGACACAGACCAAACAGTCAGGGGTGGGTGACACAGCAACAGCCTGACACACGGACAACCAGGTCAGTAGTGAAGGGTTGCACGACAGAGAGACAAAACAGTTTTAGTGGAGGAGGGGGGGGGCGGCAGAGCGGCGGCTGCTGCTGCAACAGCCTGACACACGGCAGGGAGGGAAACTGCAGTTAGTGGAGGGTTTGCAGGGCGGCTGCTGCTGCAACAGCCCGATACGGCAGAGAAAGGGGGAACCGACAGTCAGTGGTGGAAGGTGGCACAGAGGCTGAACAGCCTGCCACAGGACAGAGGGTAATCAGACAAAGCTAGAGGATGGCACAAGATCGACAAAAGAATATCCCTATGGGGCTTCAGAACTGGAGTCTCCAACCCTGAATAGAGCAGCATGAACATAACATTCACAATTCCCAATCAACGCAGTACGCGACCGGACAGTGACCGCATCAATCGCCCCCTCCCTCTCCCGGCGGCTAGCCTGAGGCGAGGATTAGAGCCCGACACTAACCACGCGACTTTGGTGTCGCATAACAACGACCGCACTCCCCCCCCCCCCACCAGTCATCCACCGCAGTGGCGGATCCAGGGGGGGGCTGCGGGGGCTGGCAGCCCCCACCCAAGGAAAACTGGCGCCACTGCGCCGAAGGCGCAGTGGCGCCAATTTTCAGAAAGGGAATTTGAATGTAAAAACTTGTCAAATAAATACTTTTTGGCAATGCGACAGCATAGAACAATTATGACCTGCAGCCCCTCCCCAGTGAAAATCCTGGATCCGCCACTGATCCACCGACCCGTCCCAGCCGCCGCGGCGGCGCGGTGCGGCGGGACACCCGACACCGCGCAACAAGCTACCGACAGAGGAGGCTGTGGGTCGAATTGGCAGGGCGGAGGGAATTTGGAGGGCAATTAGTAGTTTACGGCACAGCTGAATCCCCTGGCAGCAGGCCGGGGAGGAGATGGCTTTATGGAGTTAAAGAGATGTTATGGCGGTTACGTGTAGCTTGCCTGACTGACACAAATCAATTAGCTTTTATGTACCTTCTAATATTGGTTAAAAGCCAAATAAAACAGCTACGAACGATACAAAACTTCTGTCAAGCTAGCTGCATTCATCGGTTCAGATAAAATGGGCACATGAAGCCATTGGGCCATAATATGGCTAACATCCAATAACAACGAACAATGGAGCCATGAAGATCGATTTGGTCAGGCAGTTACTGTGACCATCGGTGATACAGCAAAAGGCACTCCACTCGTCCCACTCCAGTGCTCTGACGCAGTCAGCCCCCTCTCTCTCCCCGGAGAGCACGATCGAAGAGCCGACATATGACACTGCGCCATCGATCCGGCGTCATGTTGCTAGCCGAGCAGAGAGCGACCACCTCCCTCCTCCCGCCCACGGGGATCACATGGCGGTGTAGCCTAACCCTCAGGCTTCAGACCGCAGACCTGACACCGACACGGTCAGCGATCATGTGATGCCGATCAGCCAATCATGCAGTGCCCTCATATCAAAGAGAAGAAACGGTCATTCTTTTGTGGAGATTTGAGTGGTGGATAGAGAGGATCGTGCCAAGCGCAAACTTCTCCATCTCTTATTTATGTTTCCTTGCAAAACTGGCTACATGACCTGGCAAAACGTGTTCCCGCACCGGGAATCGAACCCGGGCCTCACGGGTGAGAGCCGTGTATCCTAGCCACTAGACCATGCGGGAGGACATGAATGATGTTCTGATTCGTTGAAAGCAACAATGGCTCCAAGCCTGAACCCTCCATGTGACGTAGCCACGATTCCGCCCGCGATCAGTTTTGGATTAGATAATAGATTGGACTATATTTCCATAGGTATATCCTTAACGTGGTCATTTTCGACAAGGTGGTCACCTGTTCGCCTTGCCCTCAGGTGTGCCGAATCTTACACATTATGCCTAAAAAAAAGATAAAGAACCTCTCTCTTTTGTGGGGAATATCCCCTAAAATTCTACCAACTTGCTACACGAACCCTCCCACTCATGACCAATTAACCAACGAACCGCGTTAATTACACCCCAGGGACACCAGTCGTGGGCACAGCCGGTCTTTAGAGGTATTGACACAGTAACAGTAATTTGCGATATACCACGCAATTTCATTAGAATCTCTTACATTAACCCTCGCATGTGTAGGGGGGGGGGGGGGGGGTCGGATGGACCCCCCCCATGGTTTTTCGCGAATAACTCGCGTAAAAAGCGGCCGATCGCGACGAAACTTTCAGTACCCTCACATTGATCAATTTTACACCTACCCTGAAAATTTCATGACCCTGACCCAAATGACCTTTGACCTGTGACCTCTTTTCCGAGACCATGTTTGGCCGGAATCGCGATTCTGCGTATGTCGGCTCGCATTAGCCGCGCGTTTGCAAGCTTTTCGTGGTTTTAAACGTTCAAACATGTAATTTGATGTTACTCCCGTGGGTGTCAAGGTCACCTGAAGGTCAGGTCAGGTCATTGACCTTTCGTGACCTCGGGTGACCTCGGTTCACTTTTTCGAGTTTTACATGTTTCTAGGCTAGTTTTTGGAGCTGAATTCGAATTTAGCAACCATTTGAACATTTACGAAGTAGTTTTGGTGACTTCGTAACATGTTACGAAGCTGTCAGAGGCGGTTGACACGTACTACGAATACCCGTCACGACGCCTACTGGTTGACCTGACCTGACCTGACCCGACCTGGTCTAAATGCTTCAAGACATCATCTGTGATCAAAACTAACACGATATTCGTGATCAGCACCCCGAAAAACCCCTTAGCAGCCACACTTTACGACTTTCTAACAGGTCCCGATTTTCCCGACTTTGGGGTCATTGACCTGACCTGGAAGGTCAACCAATGACCTAGGACCTTAAAATTGGGTATCATCGGCTTCCTCTCGTCATGGGCAACACGCTCGTTTTTTCCGCGAAGCTCTAGCTCGATCAGGGGCCAAACGGCAAGGGGGGGGGTCCAACCGACCCCCCCCCCCCCCCTACACATTAGAAGCTGGCAAACGCCGCACACATGCGAGGGTTAACGTTACAGAATGTAGTTTATTGCTGTTTTAGGACGCAACGGCTATAACGCGAAAGGTTAAAATGAAGAGAGTACGTCAAATTCCATGAAAAACCGGCTGTGACATGAGACAAGTAGTGGCCTTTCCGGTCCACCCACCGACCCGAGCTGTGACCTTTAGCGCCGCGAGCGACGGCAGCACATAACGAGCGGAGCAGCAGCCGACTCAGCTGGGCTATTTGGGGGTCGCCAGCCGATCAATGTAATAGCCAGCGAAAATTTCAGCTGTGATGGAAGACCCGCCAGCACAGCACTCAGAGGCCATTCGTTTGTTGGGGCGTGTCTGTCGTACTTTTTAGTGATGTTTACCATGCTATATGGTGGTTCATCAAGTGGACCTTCCACTCGGTGAATGCGATTTAGCAGCTTCTGGGTTCAATACACTGTGGGTGGTGTTATGTGTCAACAGACCCGTAATTGCCGATAAATACCATACGGCTAGTTGCCACCCAACTGACGCACAGAGTAGTGAATCAGTACGTATCTGACAGGCTTGTTCCAACTTCCTGTCACCGGTAGTTGATTAGCGGACACGTTCCTGTGTCTTATCATATGCACACTGCAGATAACAGCGTGTGGCATTCCGCGATACTGACAGCAAATACCACGGCGAACACGATAGCCTGTTCCGATCAAACGAATTTAAAGTCGAGCGAATCGAGTAGAATAATTTACATCATCGTTCCAAGCGGTAGACGCCAGACGGTAACTTTATCGGTACTCACACCAAATCGAAACCCCGAGTATCGAACTGATCTGATCGTTCCCGGTAATCGAACGCGCTGAGCACAATCAAGTTGAACTGGCTGGATGCATTATCCAGCATCCCTCCATAAGCCGCATCCAATTACTACCCGCGAGTGGAGTACGCTCGTCTTGACGTGGAGGTGGGATTTCGCTTCACCTCTTATACAGCTTCAGTGTACGAAGCCAGAGCCAAAACTGTCAAACTATCCACGGGTAAAACAAACATGATCGTCGGTTGGTCTACTCCGTCACCGCAAAATCTCTTCAAATACTTTGAAACTCATATCTTTCATTTTGCTACTGACGGTTACGAATAATGGCCTCTTTGATAAATGGACGTTGCCAACCGTAATTCACATTGTCTGATAAAACCCAACAAAGTCGCTAAATCTCTAAAGCATGACATACTCATTTTCATGAAATCCCGGCAAAGTCATGCTCACTTAACCACAACTGCAGACAATCGACTTGCTGACAACAGTCTGGGGAAAACTAGCCGATTATTGCCCAAATCAGCCGCCCCTGGACTCACTTGAGGTGCATCGACTCGACCTCCTCCTCGACCGGTGTGAACAGCGGTCCGAGCCGGTGGCCGCGCGGTGTCGGCGTCGACCGCACGTGCACGTCCACGTTCCCGGCGGCCCGCACACTGTCCAGCAGCGAGGCCAGCAGCGAGTCCCTGCGGGATGCAGGGTAGCAGTGGGTTAGAGGGACCTGTGGTAGATGGAAGTCAACGGTGAGCACACGGCATACCGGCAGAATCACCGTCCTATCCAAGGCCCAAATGCTACGTTTCTATAATTCGAAAGCTTCTTAGACGTTTGTCACAGGAATGCACATCATTCTCCACCTCCCCGATTGTGGAGAGGTTATCATGCTGCAGTAGGCGTGCACCCACCTGTCTGTGGAGAGGTAGAAACCCAGCCCCACACACCCACCTGTCTGTGGAGGGTAGAAACCCAGCCCCACACACCCACCTGTCTGTGGAGGGTAGAAACCCAGCCCCGCACACCCACCTGTCTGTGGAGGGTAGAAACCCAGCCCCGCACACCCACCTGTCTGTGGAGAGGTAGCTGCGGACCTGGCCGTCGTTGTACTCCACGCTGAAGGTCTGCGCGCTCTCCTGATGTCGCACCAGCGCGAACACATGGCTGAGCGGCCGCAGGGTGCAGACGGAGTAGCTGGCCGGGTCGCGCTCCAGCAGACACGTCTCCGTGAGACAGAGCGTGCGGCGTACCGGGTCCGGGTGCCGCGCCGACTGCTTCTGCACGGTGAACTCGGCCAGGGAGGTGAGGTGCTCGTCCGTACTGCCGGAGAGTGAGGGGAGAAGAGGGAGGTCAGTGGGGTGTGGAGAAAAAGCGCGTACAACTATTACCGAGCCTGATTGATTTCAGCAACGATGCATTGAGGCCAGCCAGTACTGAGAAGAAGATTGTTGACGTGGTTGAAAGATATAGTTATATGTAGGTAACATGATGTTATTTCGATATAATCTTACGAACAAGCGAATTTTGCACTCAGAAGTCGTGCACTTCATGAAGCATCCAAACATTATTTCCAATAGTCAGCCAGCGACCTATTTATAAGTCACTGATCACTATGGAATCGGACAGTTTGGGTAAAGTTAAACAGCAATGAAAGAACGACGATAAGGAAGCCGGCAAAATCATCCACCAGACACTTAAACGGTCTGCTTCACCACCTGCACGCGGGTCATGGACCATGAAACGCAGTCTCCTCCCAATCATACGACCCGGCCGCCCGTGGCACCGCGCCACCGCAGCTGGGTCCGCTCGGTAACCGGCCGTCGTCTCGCTCCAGCTGGCCGTAACCACAGACACCATCGCCGCTACCGGAGCCGCGGAACAGCGCTATCGTCCAGACGCGTGCCGACCTCGATACTTACCTGCCCCAATCCCCACTCATTTCGAGCCTACGTCTATCCCCAACCGAACAGTTGCACATCTTGCAAGACCTAAACACATGCACCTGTTCTGTGAACTGTGGCGTATGTACCTGGTGTCTATGCTCCAGACCACATGTCACATTGATCCCATCCAATCGACTAATTGACCTCAACTCAGCAAACAGACGGGCGACACCGGCCACGTTCAACAGTTCCGCACGGTGCATCATTTCAAAGGGATTAGCTTGTTCCGTGCCTAGTCTTGCAGTATCCCAGCCTCACCTTGATCCTACCCTACTTGAAGTATTCCAGTCAACACCCTATGTCTAGCACCCACCTACCTGTCAACTCATCATACTGTCATCACTCAGCTCCCTATCTGTAGTATCCTAGCCACCACTCAGCTCCCTCCCTGTAGTGTCCCAGCCGGTGTTCGGTGAAGTACCCCAGTCATCACTCAGCTCCCTACCTGAAGTGTCCCAGTCATCCCTCATCTCCCTACCTGTAGTGTCCCAGCCGGTGTTCGGTGAAGTAGCCCAGGGAGACGGCCTCCTTCCTGGAGGTGACGTTGACGCCCACACAGCGGGCCGCCTTGTCCACCATCAGCCGCAGCACAGTGTCACGCTTCTCAGAGGCAAACAGGTGCTGTGAAGAGGAGGGAAGGGCGGGGGAGGTGAGCCTTAAGGTATCGTAGTGGGAAGTCGTCGGCAATACGTCGCCTTTATTTACAGGGCATAACGTTAGAATTTCACAATGGCTGACCAAAAAAAAAAAAAAAACTGCGTAATAGGTCCTAGATAGGACAGACAAGCAAGCAGCGCTTCTCAATTTAAATACCATCATGATTGATATATCCCGAAAAAAAACGAACATAGTGAATAACACGTCCATAAAATACAGAGGAAAATATTATTACGGAGCGAGCGAAGCGAGCGTAGTCTTTCCTTAGATTAACGGAAATTTCTGAGTATGAGCGGCCGGCCGGCCGTGGTCACGCTTTTGCGAGGCTTATATCTCAGCAACCACTCGACCGATTTACACGCGGTAATTTTTGTAGGGTAGCTTCATTCCTTCTACCAAGTATTGGACTATTCCCGATGCATGTGGGTGACCCCTTATGCACGTGCCACGTGCAAAACGAAGAGGTGTCCGTTTTGTAATTGTTGCAATATCTCGGTAACTACTTGGCCGATTGCGCTGAAAGTTGGCATGTAGGTAGGCACCCACTAGGCACTGCATATCCATGTGCCAGAGTTGGGGCGCTGCTGCACGTGCGCACGTGCAGGGGTCGTTTCCAGATCTCGAGAACGGCTGGACCGATTGCGCTCAAATTTGGTACACAGGGACCGGTTAGTAGGGTACCGTGCGCAAGTCAGTTGGGACCCATTTTGCACGTGCGCACGTGCAGGGTGCCGCTTCCAGATCTCGAGAACGGCTGGGCCGATTGACGATTGTGCCCAAATTTGGCACATCGCTAGAGAACGGTTAGTAGGGTGCCGTGCACAAGTCAGTTGGAGGTACCTCCTCGAATTTCGCACGTGCAAGGCTCACCCTCTCGCTCGCTCCGTTAGTCGCCCCAAAAGGCGTTATACTGGTAATTTAAGCCATAAAACATCGGATTCACCGCGATACAAAATCAAACGATGCTGCCTGACTCTCCGATCATCCAGAAAGGACCAAAGCGTCGCTTATATTCGGCAAAGTGGTTAATAACCATACACTGATCGATCATGACAAGAACACGTCAACAGCGTCGACTTTATGCATAAAGGAAGACAAACTCAGCACAACGCGGAACTCCATTAACAAAGAACGAGGAAGTTTAGTTCATCGCAGTTTGGTTTAGCACATGGTCTGTTGAAGCGCCCTTTGGAGCTCAGCTTTGTTGGCCGCTCATTCAGCGCCAAATATTTATATTAGCGACAACGCAATGAGTGCACGTTAGGCGTCATCGGGCAGCACACCCTCGTCTCAATAATACGAGCCAAGTTTCAGCAAAATGCACATGTGCCACCAAAATCCATGACCGGGTTGTTATGGTACGGACGATCAATGATCGTGGTACCGTTGTTTGGAATGTAGTGTCATGGTGAATGTACGCAATGACGATAATACAAATTTAACGAACAGAACCATTTCCAGCACCATTATTAGCAGCAATCTCACTTCTCAGCTTCCCTCATGCACTAACTACAGTACACCAGCTTCCAACCTACACGGAGTACAGCAGGCCCCAATGTAACACTAATTTACCACACCAAAGCCCTCATAGTCCACAATCCCACTTCCCCCATCATATCCCGACTCACCATCCTGCCGAAGCGGCCGCAGATAACAATGAACCCTCCGGGGTAGTCGGAGACGGGCACCACGGCCTCCACGTCCTTGTAGGCGTAGGAGGCGACCAGGGCGCCGGTAGCCGGGTGTCGCTGGTCTAGCGAGCACGGGCCGGCCTCCAGCACCACCGGGACCCGCTGCTCCGACCAGTGGTGCTTGAAGCCGTTACAACGCTGCCGGAGACGCAGAGAGGGAGCGGTTCAGATCTCCGGGACGAGTATAAAAGAAAGTATGGATGGCATAAGAAACAGTAATTTATGCAGTTACACAACTACAGTTATAGACAGACTGACAGGAAGTTAAAAGGGTATGGATTAACTAGCGCGGGCAAATAATAAGACCGGCAAAACCATTTAACAACCAGATACAATGCAGCATCACCTACTAACAATGAACGCCCTGGCTACACCCTCTACCCCCGCCCCAATCCCTTAGTTACTCACGAAGGTCTCCTCCTGGGGCTCGCCGAAGCCGGCCCGGTACCGCAGCGCCTCGGTGATCAGCTCGGCGCGGTGCTCGCTCGAGAAGCGCATCGTCTCGCTCTTTTTGCCCTTGCGCACGAGGATGGTGAACTCGTGCGGGGAGCCGCCGCGCGCCGCCGGCACGATGCCCAGAAAGTCCTCGTAGAGCCACTGGTTGGTGGCCTCCATCGAGCTCGGGTTGTACGTGGATACGCCCATGGTGCCGATGGAGAAAATGCGACGGAACCTGGCGAAGCACACGGCTCGAATGAAGGTCGGGTCGGAGCTGGCGTAGGCGATACGCGCGGAGGTGGGAAGAGGGTGGGTAAAATAAAATAAGAATAATGACATTGATATTCAAATGCAAGAGTGGAAATTTTAATGGTTTCAAAATCACCTCTCACAAGACATCATAGGCATTGGAAATCCTTTTTATCAAATTGCTGAAGAGCTCAGTGCTCACTAGGGGGAGCTAATGAACCATTTCAAATAGAAAGTCTTCCTTTGGTTTTGCTTAAACTTGTTAACTACCATCTAAACTTTGGCAAAAAGTGTGAGCAAACATAATCGAATTCTGCATCTTGCAATGTTCTTGCAAACAAAAGTAAATGCATGGGAAATACAAGATATATTAATACAGCCATATTACAGAAATCACACTTATGATGCAAAGATTTAATTTCATTTGTTATGCCATCATAAGAATCTTCAATGCTGAAATGCAGACCAGCTTAAAAATTGTTACTTACTTTCCTTTCCATGAGTGTTTGGTGAGGAAGAAACAAGCAACATCCCTGTTGTTCTTCAGTTTTGGCTTGTCAGCCATATTGATCCCTAAAAAAGATGGATCAGAATACATATGTATTTGATCACTCATAGGTTTATGTCTGTTGGTATCAGGTTGAGAGCTGTGATGTTATGCCAGAATACCTCATTCACTTATCTTGTTCACATCACACCAATACACTTAATGGTATGCCAATGCATTGTTTCTCATAGCAAATAAATAATGCAAAACAAATTATTTTTGTTGCATCAATTTTTACACCTACATTGCTTAAATATAAATTGTGGTGTAGCTTTAGCCAATAAAAATGATAAACCAGCACAACATAAAATTGAAATATCAGCCTTTCAGAAAAAAACTCACATATATTTAGTGCTCCAACTGCAGAGCAGGATTCTGGTAGAATGTGATAAAGATCTTAGCTCAGTTTTTGCTGGATAATCTGAAAAATAGAATTAGTTGGTTAAGGCAAATATTAATACCCAAAGCACCAGCATTAGTGTAGCTATGAAAATAAACCATGTTTAACAATTTTGAAAATTCATCACAAGCTAAAATGTAAGATAAACTAGGCTCTACCCTTGCCATCGTATGATCCATCTTTACTTATTTCAATTTTTAAAATTTTCAGACAGATAAACCTATGCAGCGGTTACTCAAATTTCATAGCTGTAAAATCTTATTATTAGCTAACCCAAAAGATGCATTTTTCTTTAATTAATATGATAACCTAACAATGAAAGCAACAGCAGCTCTAATGTTCCTGTTTCATAATATCATACTGAAGAAGCACAAAACAAATCTTCTTTGACAATGGCAAAGGGTCGGAGCATCTTCAAACTAACCTGAACCAGTGGTAGGTAGGTACCAACAGCCATGACAGTCAACAGAAAGTAGAAACCACGGTATAATTAAGGCCTGGCGTCCCAGGAATATGCCAGATACCATTGTAGGTTGTAGGTTTGTAGATTTGTAGGTTTGTAGGTGGTAGGTAAGGTTAGGTCAAGTCAGGTTTGCTTAGGTCTATATATCTCTGTCATCCCAATCTGGCATCTTCCTGGGACGCCAGGCTTACTAATACCGAAACCACTGCTCAGGTGCACACGCACCCTAATATCCAGTTAACTACATTCATTTTGCAAACATGTACCTATGTATATTTCATAATGGATGACGAATCGTGCATCATAATTTGTCAAATCATCAGAATTAATATTCAGCCTCAGCACTCAGCAAAAAAAAAAAACAGATCGAGATAGAAGCATGCTGAAAAACCTGAATTCATTGACATACGATGCTGTAACGCCTAAAGCAAGGTTGCCTTGAAATACTGTTTAGTTTATACGTTTATTCATGAAAGAGAAAGCTCAAAAACTTAAAACACTTGAGGATAGCCACTTAAACAGAAATCGTACAACATGAAAACCACAGCATCTACCATCTCAATAAATCCAAAGCTTTTTCAACACGTAAACAACACACACCTCCCTTGCGGAACCGCCTGCGACGAAACCAGCGCAGGTAGTTTTCTAATAGTTCCTGATAAAAGTATCCTTTAATTTCCCTCATATATATGTTCGATGTTAACAGTGAATTGATATTAACAACAAATAAATAATTTATTGATATTTTCATAAATGAGTTTATAAGGAATATTCACTTTTGACTCTAATTCTTATCCAAAAAAGTAATGATGATCATTGATTGCAAAAGCAACGCACCAGATTCATTTATTGCGCATGGTGATGGCCGCTTGGAAATAGATAGGTGGCGATAAAATATTTATTTAAATTTGTGTTGGGCCGTGCTACATGGTTAACATCAACATAGGTCTGCGTAGCAGTTCATGATATTGTGGTCAATTCTGATCGATTTGTTTGGAATTACGAGTGCTGCTGCTGCTACATGAGTGCAGAGATTCGGTCCGTGGTTATCGTGATCGATTCAAGAGGCTATTTCGGTCATAATTGTTTTGATACTGAAGAAAATATTAGGCAATTGAATCTAGTTTATTCCTAGTTCAAAGGACAGATACTATTTTAACGAACATGGCCTCATTATTTTACAAAATTTTGTTAACATGTGGTATCTTATCACTTCTCCACACTGCATATTCCGCGACCCAGCGTAAGTCCTGGTTCTAGGCTTCTAGCATTTTCTTCCCACATTGATGGCTAGCTCCTTAACATCGTTCTTTATTGCTTGTTTCTTACAGCTTCTATGGTATCTCTCAAAGTTTGCATTTCTATGAACATTGTTTGGATGGGTAAATTTTTGCTTATGTCAGTAGGCGGAACTATGGTCAAGCGTACCCATTTTCGGGAACGCATTTTCGTTCCCATGTTTGGGAACGATAAACCCAAATATGGGAACGCCATGTAGGCATTATTTAAAACAAGAAAAAGAACCGTTAAATGACGTCCAAAAAATATAAAACGATCGTGAACCACCTGATATTTGTCTCAATATTGTTGGGAAAGAGTTTGATATTGTAAGGCCCATCGTAGTTTCAAATCGTTCCCCTATTTCTAAAGCAGTCCATCATCCGGGCCGCGAGCCCAAATTTGGGAACGCTCTCGTACACTGGCGCTGCAAGCGTTCCTTATTATGGGAACGGCGTACCCAAAATTGGGAACGATTTCACCGACGCCTTTCAGGGGCTCTTTTCATTAACAAGCATCACGTCCAACGCCGCAATTTATTGTTAACGCAACAATCATCAGATGACCTTTCCGGCAAGACCGTCGCATGTTTCGCCCGGTCTTCTGCGCTTTTATTCCCGTCGATCTTGCAGCGGGCACGCCCCCTCTGCAGGATTACGTAATTCACAACGCTCAGCGATGTTCAACAAGGTCTTCCATACCTATATCCACCGTCCGCGCCGAGGGTGGAGACATGTCAAGCACCTGTCTGTTTATCACCGATAGTTGACGAGCACAAGGAAGTATCCAAAAATGGGAACGCTGAATATTATACACCCTCAAAACACCTAGTCCCAATGAAAATCTAGTTTTTTCCTTTCTTGATGAGTGTAAGTGGCAAAAGGCCTGGTAGGATGGGCACGAGGAATGATCGAAATCAGCATAAAAATTATAAATAAGCCACACAGAGCGACCTATATAAGAGAAATTCCCTCAAAACGATCACGCTTAGAAACACGGAAGACAAAAACCACGCTCATGACGCTCCTTATAAAACAACTCTAAACAGCTAGCATCCAAATAAAATATGTCTATCTGGGATGATATAATACAGCTGAATAATTTTAAACCACTGAAACTGAGTTTACAACAGTAGTTCGGTAAAATCACTGACGTTCCATGCGGTCGTGCGCCCCGACACCAAATGTCACCAATATTACCCCCGGACTGTCCGTGTGTTCGCTTGCATATGTCAGCATCTGGTGTCGCTAGTATGAAACTTCATAACCAGGCGAAAATTATTATACTTGACCTCAAAATGTAAAAAACGCTTCATTTTCCTTAAAATTGCAAGTTAAATGTAGTATAACCCATGTTTTCACCATTCCATCATTTCAAAAAATCATTAAAAATATCATTCGACGGTCAATTTCCTTGTGCAACGGTCAGATTAAAGATAATTTTATAGAGACTTAGTAGATACTTAAATTAGCGTGCACTTTTTTGAGACGTGATGCACTAAAGAGTTTTAGTGGGCGAACGGCCGAAAAATTACCTTCCGTTCCCATAAATGGGAACGCCCGTTCCCATATTTGGGAACTCCGTTCCCAAAAATGGGAACGTTCCTATATTTGGGTACTCATGACCATAGTTCCGCCTACTGATGTGGATGCATGCATTTTTAGTGTCTGTATCTTATGCATATTGCTGAAAGTGATTAGTTTTAAGCTATATTAGGGTATCAGTGGAATAATTTAGGCTTAAAGCATGGTAATTGATAACTTCAAATGACGTTGGGCTGCATGTATGGTATCTGCACTTAATGCAGGCCCAGATTATTATTCACCTTTGCCTTTGTCAAATCTTACTTTAAGATAATGCTCTATGTTTTGATTTTGATATTTTATTGTGTAAAATAATATTAAGTGGCATAACCATGTGAGGATCTCACCAGGAGACTACTGATTGGTTTCAGATCGGTCCTACCTGCGGCTGACTGAGCAGGAGTTCACATCTCTGCCCATTGACATCATCATCCAGGGAGTTCTGAGTCTCATACTCAGCATGTATGCAATACTCTTCATAGCTGGAGAGTTCAAGGAGATCCGTGCCAATGTCGACCTCCAGGAGAAGTAAGTTTAGCTAGCTGGTGCTGGATGGCTTTGTGGCAAAATTATTTTACTGTGTCTTATGTTTTCTTAAGCAGCCATACATTATCATTCAACTCAGGTTTTGGTCCACATAATTTGGAGTCAATTCAGTGTCAGACTCATGGCTGATTGTCTTATTTTATCTTTTTTAATAGTTTTACTGAAAGCTAATCAGTTGATAGTTGTATCTTGCTCATTTTTTAAATATGATGTTACAGTATAAGCCAAAAAAATGCATTTTTGGGAGGGAACATATCTGCATCATCTCTGCCCCCACCAGTTTAAAGGTCATCCAAACATAATGGGTTTGCCTTTGTATGGCAGTTTTGCAGTGTGTGACATGAGGTGTCTGCCGGCAGGACGTGGGACACGGTCGGCCACCGTCCGTCGTTCATGGTGCTCTCCCACCGGGGCCGCTGTCTGACGGCCCACTACCCGGCTGTGGTGGATGACTGACGACCCGGAGACTCCCCACCGCCTACACGCCTGCCTCCGCCGCCGCCGCCGCCGCCATCGCTCCGCTAGTCACGTGCGCGCGCGCCAGAGCCGCCCGGCCACCGCGAGCCGGCCGTCGGCGGCTGATGTGATCGCCATTCCGAGACTCCGAGTGTGGCGCCGAGCTGGAGAGACGTGAGGTACCCCGCGCGGGGCCCTGCCCGTAGGCAGCACGTGCGAACGATGCCGCTCCCGGTGGGAGCTACCGCCGGAAGGCTGAACAAAGCCGGGTCGATTGAGACAATTGTGTATTATTCAATAATTTTCCGCGAGCACCACCCTGTTTATTCCGCGCGCGCGCGCGTGTGTGTGTGTCGAGTGCGTTAAAGGTGACTGATGTTCCGCCGTGATGGACGGGTGTTGGTGGGTATGATTGGGTGTCGTCCGGTGTCAGAATCACGTGTACTCACTGAGGAAGGGTAGGGTTCGGTTCCCACGAGCCAGCCTCGTATAGGTCAATACAATACTGAGATGAGGAGCTCGTGCAGATCAGGCTTTGACAGATGCGACAACAAAGTGCTACAGGACTGGTGTTATGGTGAATAATAATCAGTTATGTGAAAAAGTGCTGCAGAACGTGAGACTGTAATGAGCAAGAAATGTGCACGGCAGACGCGTGCAGTGCAAGATACCCTGATTTAAGCCTACAAAATGTACTACTGGCTGGATCACAGAATCAAGTGGCCTGTCTGGCGGCACAGCGACATCCGATCATTCCCTTCATCAGCACCATGCCGTGTCTGCGGAGACGGTCCCGCGCGTCGGGGTCGGGCAGACGACCAAAAATCCCACCTAACCCGACCTCGCCTCCACGCAATCCCAAGTACCGATTGTCTGCGTCAGAGGCGGCCGATTCGGCGTCGGCGTCTCCATCTGACTCTTCGGCATCGCCGTCCGTTTCGTCTCCATCCGAACTGGGTTTGTTTTTCGCTAACGGTGCTGAGGTTGCCGCCCGAGGCCGCGAATGTCGTCGTTCGGAGCTGCGAGCCGCCCTCCCAGCCGTGCCGGGCTGTGCGCTGCGGTGTCTCCGCCGCGGTCTGCGCCGTTTGGCCTGCTGTCGTCGCTGCTGCTCCTGCTGCTGCCGCTGCTGGAGAAGCTGCTGTTTCTGGTGACGGTACTCCAGCAGCCACGTATCCGGCCACTGGTCCAGCGGGGAGGGAGCCGGTGAGCTGAGAGACCGCGGCCGCGCCGCCAGCGTCTGACACAGACGGAGCTGTGGGGGGGGGGGGGAGTCAGTCCGGTCAGAGCGGGTGGAGCTGGTAACTTGAAAGTGACAGTACACAATGGTGGATCTGTACGAACAACAGCACTCCGCACAGCCACAGCGTGAGTGATGGCAGTTAACCGTGAGTTCCTCACTGAGTTCAGCAGACACCATAATGGGACTGGGGGGGCACGTTGTCTTGGTGCCGCTCAGTCGGCGAACGTGAGCATAAATGAGCGGATATTTATTAGCCTAACAATATGTCCAATGTTACAGCACCTGACACCATATCAGTAGACTTCGAGCCATTGTTACTAATGCCGTCCATTCAGCCACATGCCGGTGTTTCCGGTAACGTACCGGTTTTCCTGTGTCGTCCGTGGCGAGGTACGGATCTGGTGGCGGCGGTAGAGGCGTGCTTCGGTCCACGCTGCGTGTGCGGCTCCCCTGTAATAGGCGCCGGTACCTGGCCGAGAGGAACGGGAGTGGAAGCTTAGTGAGAAGCCTCGATGACTCGAAGAATACGTGAAGGGCACTCATTTTCCGAGAAGAGACATGTCAACATACCCTTGTTACGTGTGGAGGTTTTTTTTTGCAGTCGGGGCATTCCACGTCAAATCCAGCGTTACCGCTGGCGTCTCGCTGGTTTCCCCACATTCTCACGAAAATTTCCCTATTTTAGAAATCATTTCCCTAGATGCGGTTATTTTCATAAAAATTTGACGTACTTTCCTCATTTTAACCATAGATATAAAGATTTTAACTATGTATATGTGATTTTACCCATTCGTGTTATAGTCACTGCGTCCCAAAACAGCAATGAACTACATTCTGTGACGTTAATCAGAGATTCTAATGAAATTGCTGGCATGTAGCAAATTACTGTATAATATAATTTCGTGGTATATCGCAAATTGTGGTGTGTTGCGGGACGCCGGGAACTATACCGTATGGTTAGCGGTAGTGCTGGCGTAAGAGACGAGCGAATGCATTATTTTGCACCGTCAGTTTGACCCACTGAACTCTACAGGGTGATTTTTTTAACTGTTAAAAAGTAAACGTCAATGGTGGTCCCTAAATCGAAAAATCGCGTGCAAAAAAGCAATGCACGTGATAGATAAATCTGGGACATTTTGTATGGTGTCATCATTTGTCCCTTTTGACCGACGGCCTCGGCCCCAATGGAGCCTGAAAATGTCCCACCAATCGGGCACGCATGGTCCACCGCCGTTCAGTAAGGAACGACACAAAATGATGATTTTGAGGCATTGCGGCAGTTCGAAGCATACGATGATCAAGGAGATACCTCAGAAAGACGTTAAATAACGCATGAACAAGCTTGTAGTCATAAATAACCTTCAAACGGTCCATCTGGGGTATGAGCAGCTTTTGAAGAATCAGTCTTCAGGGAGAAAGAAAAACAGCGAATCAGACCCCATCAGGGCTGCCAGTAGGTATCAAAATCCTCGACCTGCCCTCCCTAAACTTCTAGTTTTTGGACCCAGGGTGAGAGAGTGGGTAACTTCAAGCACAAGTAAAATACACGATGGACGTTCCTTCGCATCGTGTCTGCATGAAATCAAAATGTCCCAGAATGCTCGTCATCCTGGCATATAATTTTGCAAGATATGTTTGCATTTTAACCCCACTAGACCTCATTACTTTTAAAGGGACACTCCCACCTTAACATTAGTTTTGAGTTGAGATAGCCAAATTGGTGGCCATGGCCTGCAAATACCGGTTTGGGCACTCACAGCATCGACAAATGCTTTAATTCGGAGATATGGAATTTCAAACTTGCAGTTTTCGGATTCTAAGGGGCTAGTGCATTGGTATGCCCCCTTAGAATTTGTGACGTCAGCGGAGATCTAACGATTTTTAAATCTTTTACTAAAACGTTTGGTAGCACGCGGTGGTATATGCTGCTTTGCGCGCAACAAATGCCGCACTTTCAAATAAAGTCGCTAGGAACAGCGGAGACCCCAAAAAGTAAACAAAAGTAAAAGTCTAATATCTTGAAAACCGGTGAATATTTTTCGATGAAATTTGGTAGATATTCGTTTTCGCTCTTTCTGAACCGAGCGACATCACTTTCGTGCCAATTTATTAACTTTTTTGAAGGTGGGAGGGTCCCTTTAAACAAGTAAAAAAAAATCACCCTGTATAATGTTTGAACTCTCTAGGTTTGACCCACTGAACTCTATAATGGTTTGACCGTAAGGAAGTGATATGCGCTAGACATTGTGAAAATCGCGCCAAAACAAAAATTTTGATGTAAAAAATTAGCCGCACCCGAAATGGTACAAAGCAGAAGGAGTTTGTTTTGAAATAATACCTAGCAAGAATTATATATGCATGCATACATATGTAATTCCCTTTATATCTTTAAAACGAGAGCATCAAACCTGAATTTTGTGAAAAATGTTCTCATATTTATTTGATATGACATGCGGAAGAATAATTCATGACAACAATGGAGCGTTGGAGACAACGCTCAACGAAGGTTGGACAACAAAGAGTGTTGGAGACCCGGTCCCGTAGCTCAGTTGGTAGGGCGTTGGACTCCGCGTGGTGAGAGCACGCGTTCCCGGTTATAACAGTCCGGGTTCGAAGCGCGACGGCACCTTTCCGTGCTTCTATCCTCAGGATACTGAAATCCTTCTCCTCCACGCCACAACCCCCTACCGGGCTGGGCAGGCAACTTTATCTCATGCGGGCTGCTCCCTTGGAGCAGCACCGCTGCTCCCGAGGGAGCGCACCCCGTAGCCGGGTGCAGTGAGCGCCTTGGGGCTGGGTGGCCTGTCCTCTGGACGGGCTCAGCCCCGGCGACTCATTAGGGTGCCTGCCCAGACCAATGTCTCCCCCTAATTCCTATCATCCTTCCGGCTCTGCAATGGTCTTGTCGACCGAAAGGGCCTAACCCAACAAAACAAACAAAAGCGCGACGGGCGCTGGGCATTTATGGGCCTCCTGACAGGTATGGTTGCGGTTGGTGGCAGGCCGTAGCCACGCGAAGTCGGTGAGGGGGCCGGCTATGAGGGCGCGGCTATGTGCACACGTTAAACTTTGAACTCTAAATTCTGCCATAGAACTGGAATTGCGCGATCGGAGGGTAGAGGGCAGAGTCACCGCAACAAGCTTCGCTTAGCGGTGGCTCTGTCCTTGTGAATCCTTCCTATCAAAAGGTTTGGACTAAATTTATTTAAAAAAGAAATGATTTTGATCGTTGAAAAAACAATTTTTCGGGTTTGTGGTATTTCCCTAGATTTCGTGTGAAATCCATATATCCCTAGATCTTCGCTGATTTCCATAGAAAAGGGAAATTTCCCTAGCAGCGGTAACCCTGGTCAAATCGAACAAAAATCGGCTGTTTTGCACCTTACCATCAGCGATTTCATTATAAATTTGTGAGCGAGTTCCTGTGCCGCCCCGGACATTACATTGATGTTTTTTGCACATTCTGACCACAGGTCTTCTAAATATAGGGCATCAAATTTTTACAAAATGTTGCATTTTTATATTTTTGAACGACCATAACTTTGGTTGTACTTGTTTGATTTGAATGAAATAAACCTTACTGTTTAGGTAATTTCTTAAGCATTTGTTAAGAATTGCATCGACTTAAATATATGACCTTGAAATTTGCTGAACTCTGTTCTTAAGCACAAAAATTGAAATAGCAAAAAACACGCCACCTTCGATTTGGCTCATTTTCATATATTTTATTGCCTACCATATTCTTAACAACCTGTGAAAAAATTAGAGTGGGCCATTCATAAGTTTTGAAGAAAATGGCACATATGCAAACGTATGTTAGCACACGCAGTGGAGGGGAAGAGTGAATTTCGCCCCACCCCTCCTGTTTTTCGCCAATATCTCATAATATTGATGCGAAATTACTTATGGCTACCTGTCCAGAATTGAATTGCACATCTCATCGTGCAAGCAATAAGACAATCGGTTCACAACTGTTCTAGTAATAGCGGTGTAAAGTGAACATCCTGTCGCCGCGGCAACGCGGCGACTCGGCAGCCGGCGCCGACCGCTACGCGCCGCCTGAATTGTAGACTGTGCCGGGACGGGACGGAACGGTTCCGTATTTACATCGCGCTCCTTACCGCGGATTACGTTCGATTCGCATCAAATTTTGTGAGAAGACTAAGAAATGTACAGGCAATCTTATGGTGAAAGAATTCTGAAAATAGGTTGGTAAACAATTGAAATATGAACGTGTAAACACACAATTGTGACTGCTGCATTTCCCGCGTCGGCCGGCGGCGCGGCGACATGTTACTCTTAGCAGGACTCTAACTGCCATATTTATTATCGGATTAACTAGAAATTCCCCATACATACTCAAAAATGTATGTTCTTTCATATAGTGAAGATCAAAAGACGTGAAGATATCGTTGCGTGATCATGTTTTCGTTGAATTTATTTCATGATGCATTTCCACACGGCTCAAAATTCACCGAAAAATACCGTTTGCCTGAGACACTTTTACAATGGAACGTGAATGCTTGACTACGATGACTATGCATTTCCATTCTCGCAGAGTTTGGGATATCACTAATCAGCAATCATTCATTTCAGAAAGTGTACACAAGCAAGCATGTCTTGACTCTGTCTTTCAAGGTCACGCGCGGTTGCGTGATGTTGATGCATGAAAACGGCGTTTGCCGCGAAAGTTATGAATGGCCCACTCCAATTTTTTCACAGATGGTTAGGAACATTGTGACGGACATAATATGTAAAAATTACTCAAATCGAAGGTGGCGTGTTTTTTGCTATTTAAATTTTTCTGTTTTAATTCAAGGTCAAATGCATTTCAAGGTCACTTCAATTTAATTTTATAATTAAAAATCAAAGCCTTATCAATTGCCTACAAGACCCTGTTAATATCATTTGGATACCAGAAAAGGAACCAGAGTTATAAGCATTTAAAAAAATGATGTGTGGCATTTTTGGCTATATTCGATGAGCTATATCTCGGCGATACGTTATCAAATTTCGAAAATATTACACGTAACTCAGTTTTGAACCATGCCCAGTCTGCCTACAAATTTTCAGAAAAATCGAAGGGGATGACGGATTTCGGTGTTTGATTTGACGTGGAATGCCCCAGTCGCCACTCGCCACACGTACATACATCAAATTTGTCTGAATCTGTCTAGTTATGATCTCCACGAGTTTGCCTTTATAATGGCGCGTTTCGGCCTCACTTCTCGAAGTCGGTGTTGTCGTTGTCGAGTCGTTTCGAGTCCATGATCTCGGCGAGGGCGCGCATCAGTCGGATGTCGGCGTCCAGGTGTCGCCACTGCAGCTGGCGCCGCGCCGCCTGCCGCCGGCCGGGCTCCACCACGTGACGGGGCCGAGTCGGAGGGCCCGAGTCCACCACCGCTGACGCTGAGGCGACCTGAAAGGAGGGGGAGGAGTTGGGGGCTTGTGGAGGGGTCGATATTTTTGGTACAGGGAGGAGGAGTGGCGAAGAGCCGGGCCGCTACTCGCTCCGCTCTGCACAAGTAGGAAACTTGAATTATCCAGCCCAACACCCGAGCAGTGTGCTGATGAAAAAGCAAGGCTCAAGCCACAGGAATATGCACTTGTTCCCTCTTTAGATATTCTGTGTAGCTTGGCCGTTAGTGGAGTTGGCCGTTGCTATACAAGGGAGAAAACTGAAGCAATGGCAGAAAACTCAACCGGACGTGAGTTGTGAACAATGCTACGAAGGCTGACAGTCTGACACAACTACCCAAGAAGAGGAGAGATCACTTACTCTGCTGCGGTGTCCGTGGTAGCGGAGCTGCCGGTAGGGCTCCATCATAATCAGCTCCCGGCGCAGCATGCTGGCGCTCTGACGGACGTCCTAACGGTGGAGCCGTTCAGCCGACCAGCTACAGCTGCTGCAGCACGGGTCAACCGGCTAGCGAAAATAATAGCCAGCGAAAATTTCAGCTGTGATGGAAGACCCGCCAGCACAGCACTCAGAGGCCATTCGTTTGTTGGGGCGTGTCTGTCGTACTTTTTAGTGATGTTTACCATGCTATATGGTGGTTCATCAAGTGGACCTTCCACTCGGTGAATGCGATTTAGCAGCTTCTGGGTTCAATACACTGTGGGTGGTGTTATGTGTCAACAGACCCGTAATTGCCGATAAATACCATACGGCTAGTTGCCACCCAACTGACGCACAGAGTAGTGAATCAGTACGTATCTGACAGGCTTGTTCCAACTTCCTGTCACCGGTAGTTGATTAGCGGACACGTTCCTGTGTCTTATCATATGCACACTGCAGATAACAGCGTGTGGCATTCCGCGATACTGACAGCAAATACCACGGCGAACACGATAGCCTGTTCCGATCAAACGAATTTAAAGTCGAGCGAATCGAGTAGAATAATTTACATCATCGTTCCAAGCGGTAGACGCCAGACGGTAACTTTATCGGTACTCACACCAAATCGAAACCCCGAGTATCGAACTGATCTGATCGTTCCCGGTAATCGAACGCGCTGAGCACAATCAAGTTGAACTGGCTGGATGCATTATCCAGCATCCCTCCATAAGCCGCATCCAATTACTACCCGCGAGTGGAGTACGCTCGTCTTGACGTGGAGGTGGGATTTCGCTTCACCTCTTATACAGCTTCAGTGTACGAAGCCAGAGCCAAAACTGTCAAACTATCCACGGGTAAAACAAACATGATCGTCGGTTGGTCTACTCCGTCACCGCAAAATCTCTTCAAATACTTTGAAACTCATATCTTTCATTTTGCTACTGACGGTTACGAATAATGGCCTCTTTGATAAATGGACGTTGCCAACCGTAATTCACATTGTCTGATAAAACCCAACAAAGTCGCTAAATCTCTAAAGCATGACATACTCATTTTCATGAAATCCCGGCAAAGTCATGCTCACTTAACCACAACTGCAGACAATCGACTTGCTGACAACAGTCTGGGGAAAACTAGCCGATTATTGCCCAAATCAGCCGCCCCTGGACTCACTTGAGGTGCATCGACTCGACCTCCTCCTCGACCGGTGTGAACAGCGGTCCGAGCCGGTGGCCGCGCGGTGTCGGCGTCGACCGCACGTGCACGTCCACGTTCCCGGCGGCCCGCACACTGTCCAGCAGCGAGGCCAGCAGCGAGTCCCTGCGGGATGCAGGGTAGCAGTGGGTTAGAGGGACCTGTGGTAGATGGAAGTCAACGGTGAGCACACGGCATACCGGCAGAATCACCGTCCTATCCAAGGCCCAAATGCTACGTTTCTATAATTCGAAAGCTTCTTAGACGTTTGTCACAGGAATGCACATCATTCTCCACCTCCCCGATTGTGGAGAGGTTATCATGCTGCAGTAGGCGTGCACCCACCTGTCTGTGGAGAGGTAGAAACCCAGCCCCACACACCCACCTGTCTGTGGAGGGTAGAAACCCAGCCCCACACACCCACCTGTCTGTGGAGGGTAGAAACCCAGCCCCGCACACCCACCTGTCTGTGGAGGGTAGAAACCCAGCCCCGCACACCCACCTGTCTGTGGAGAGGTAGCTGCGGACCTGGCCGTCGTTGTACTCCACGCTGAAGGTCTGCGCGCTCTCCTGATGTCGCACCAGCGCGAACACATGGCTGAGCGGCCGCAGGGTGCAGACGGAGTAGCTGGCCGGGTCGCGCTCCAGCAGACACGTCTCCGTGAGACAGAGCGTGCGGCGTACCGGGTCCGGGTGCCGCGCCGACTGCTTCTGCACGGTGAACTCGGCCAGGGAGGTGAGGTGCTCGTCCGTACTGCCGGAGAGTGAGGGGAGAAGAGGGAGGTCAGTGGGGTGTGGAGAAAAAGCGCGTACAACTATTACCGAGCCTGATTGATTTCAGCAACGATGCATTGAGGCCAGCCAGTACTGAGAAGAAGATTGTTGACGTGGTTGAAAGATATAGTTATATGTAGGTAACATGATGTTATTTCGATATAATCTTACGAACAAGCGAATTTTGCACTCAGAAGTCGTGCACTTCATGAAGCATCCAAACATTATTTCCAATAGTCAGCCAGCGACCTATTTATAAGTCACTGATCACTATGGAATCGGACAGTTTGGGTAAAGTTAAACAGCAATGAAAGAACGACGATAAGGAAGCCGGCAAAATCATCCACCAGACACTTAAACGGTCTGCTTCACCACCTGCACGCGGGTCATGGACCATGAAACGCAGTCTCCTCCCAATCATACGACCCGGCCGCCCGTGGCACCGCGCCACCGCAGCTGGGTCCGCTCGGTAACCGGCCGTCGTCTCGCTCCAGCTGGCCGTAACCACAGACACCATCGCCGCTACCGGAGCCGCGGAACAGCGCTATCGTCCAGACGCGTGCCGACCTCGATACTTACCTGCCCCAATCCCCACTCATTTCGAGCCTACGTCTATCCCCAACCGAACAGTTGCACATCTTGCAAGACCTAAACACATGCACCTGTTCTGTGAACTGTGGCGTATGTACCTGGTGTCTATGCTCCAGACCACATGTCACATTGATCCCATCCAATCGACTAATTGACCTCAACTCAGCAAACAGACGGGCGACACCGGCCACGTTCAACAGTTCCGCACGGTGCATCATTTCAAAGGGATTAGCTTGTTCCGTGCCTAGTCTTGCAGTATCCCAGCCTCACCTTGATCCTACCCTACTTGAAGTATTCCAGTCAACACCCTATGTCTAGCACCCACCTACCTGTCAACTCATCATACTGTCATCACTCAGCTCCCTATCTGTAGTATCCTAGCCACCACTCAGCTCCCTCCCTGTAGTGTCCCAGCCGGTGTTCGGTGAAGTACCCCAGTCATCACTCAGCTCCCTACCTGAAGTGTCCCAGTCATCCCTCATCTCCCTACCTGTAGTGTCCCAGCCGGTGTTCGGTGAAGTAGCCCAGGGAGACGGCCTCCTTCCTGGAGGTGACGTTGACGCCCACACAGCGGGCCGCCTTGTCCACCATCAGCCGCAGCACAGTGTCACGCTTCTCAGAGGCAAACAGGTGCTGTGAAGAGGAGGGAAGGGCGGGGGAGGTGAGCCTTAAGGTATCGTAGTGGGAAGTCGTCGGCAATACGTCGCCTTTATTTACAGGGCATAACGTTAGAATTTCACAATGGCTGACCAAAAAAAAAAAAAAACTGCGTAATAGGTCCTAGATAGGACAGACAAGCAAGCAGCGCTTCTCAATTTAAATACCATCATGATTGATATATCCCGAAAAAAAACGAACATAGTGAATAACACGTCCATAAAATACAGAGGAAAATATTATTACGGAGCGAGCGAAGCGAGCGTAGTCTTTCCTTAGATTAACGGAAATTTCTGAGTATGAGCGGCCGGCCGGCCGTGGTCACGCTTTTGCGAGGCTTATATCTCAGCAACCACTCGACCGATTTACACGCGGTAATTTTTGTAGGGTAGCTTCATTCCTTCTACCAAGTATTGGACTATTCCCGATGCATGTGGGTGACCCCTTATGCACGTGCCACGTGCAAAACGAAGAGGTGTCCGTTTTGTAATTGTTGCAATATCTCGGTAACTACTTGGCCGATTGCGCTGAAAGTTGGCATGTAGGTAGGCACCCACTAGGCACTGCATATCCATGTGCCAGAGTTGGGGCGCTGCTGCACGTGCGCACGTGCAGGGGTCGTTTCCAGATCTCGAGAACGGCTGGACCGATTGCGCTCAAATTTGGTACACAGGGACCGGTTAGTAGGGTACCGTGCGCAAGTCAGTTGGGACCCATTTTGCACGTGCGCACGTGCAGGGTGCCGCTTCCAGATCTCGAGAACGGCTGGGCCGATTGACGATTGTGCCCAAATTTGGCACATCGCTAGAGAACGGTTAGTAGGGTGCCGTGCACAAGTCAGTTGGAGGTACCTCCTCGAATTTCGCACGTGCAAGGCTCACCCTCTCGCTCGCTCCGTTAGTCGCCCCAAAAGGCGTTATACTGGTAATTTAAGCCATAAAACATCGGATTCACCGCGATACAAAATCAAACGATGCTGCCTGACTCTCCGATCATCCAGAAAGGACCAAAGCGTCGCTTATATTCGGCAAAGTGGTTAATAACCATACACTGATCGATCATGACAAGAACACGTCAACAGCGTCGACTTTATGCATAAAGGAAGACAAACTCAGCACAACGCGGAACTCCATTAACAAAGAACGAGGAAGTTTAGTTCATCGCAGTTTGGTTTAGCACATGGTCTGTTGAAGCGCCCTTTGGAGCTCAGCTTTGTTGGCCGCTCATTCAGCGCCAAATATTTATATTAGCGACAACGCAATGAGTGCACGTTAGGCGTCATCGGGCAGCACACCCTCGTCTCAATAATACGAGCCAAGTTTCAGCAAAATGCACATGTGCCACCAAAATCCATGACCGGGTTGTTATGGTACGGACGATCAATGATCGTGGTACCGTTGTTTGGAATGTAGTGTCATGGTGAATGTACGCAATGACGATAATACAAATTTAACGAACAGAACCATTTCCAGCACCATTATTAGCAGCAATCTCACTTCTCAGCTTCCCTCATGCACTAACTACAGTACACCAGCTTCCAACCTACACGGAGTACAGCAGGCCCCAATGTAACACTAATTTACCACACCAAAGCCCTCATAGTCCACAATCCCACTTCCCCCATCATATCCCGACTCACCATCCTGCCGAAGCGGCCGCAGATAACAATGAACCCTCCGGGGTAGTCGGAGACGGGCACCACGGCCTCCACGTCCTTGTAGGCGTAGGAGGCGACCAGGGCGCCGGTAGCCGGGTGTCGCTGGTCTAGCGAGCACGGGCCGGCCTCCAGCACCACCGGGACCCGCTGCTCCGACCAGTGGTGCTTGAAGCCGTTACAACGCTGCCGGAGACGCAGAGAGGGAGCGGTTCAGATCTCCGGGACGAGTATAAAAGAAAGTATGGATGGCATAAGAAACAGTAATTTATGCAGTTACACAACTACAGTTATAGACAGACTGACAGGAAGTTAAAAGGGTATGGATTAACTAGCGCGGGCAAATAATAAGACCGGCAAAACCATTTAACAACCAGATACAATGCAGCATCACCTACTAACAATGAACGCCCTGGCTACACCCTCTACCCCCGCCCCAATCCCTTAGTTACTCACGAAGGTCTCCTCGGTCCTCCTGGGGCTCGCCGAAGCCGGCCCGGTACCGCAGCGCCTCGGTGATCAGCTCGGCGCGGTGCTCGCTCGAGAAGCGCATCGTCTCGCTCTTTTTGCCCTTGCGCACGAGGATGGTGAACTCGTGCGGGGAGCCGCCGCGCGCCGCCGGCACGATGCCCAGAAAGTCCTCGTAGAGCCACTGGTTGGTGGCCTCCATCGAGCTCGGGTTGTACGTGGATACGCCCATGGTGCCGATGGAGAAAATGCGACGGAACCTGGCGAAGCACACGGCTCGAATGAAGGTCGGGTCGGAGCTGGCGTAGGCGATACGCGCGGAGGTGGGAAGAGGGTGGGTAAAATAAAATAAGAATAATGACATTGATATTCAAATGCAAGAGTGGAAATTTTAATGGTTTCAAAATCACCTCTCACAAGACATCATAGGCATTGGAAATCCTTTTTATCAAATTGCTGAAGAGCTCAGTGCTCACTAGGGGGAGCTAATGAACCATTTCAAATAGAAAGTCTTCCTTTGGTTTTGCTTAAACTTGTTAACTACCATCTAAACTTTGGCAAAAAGTGTGAGCAAACATAATCGAATTCTGCATCTTGCAATGTTCTTGCAAACAAAAGTAAATGCATGGGAAATACAAGATATATTAATACAGCCATATTACAGAAATCACACTTATGATGCAAAGATTTAATTTCATTTGTTATGCCATCATAAGAATCTTCAATGCTGAAATGCAGACCAGCTTAAAAATTGTTACTTACTTTCCTTTCCATGAGTGTTTGGTGAGGAAGAAACAAGCAACATCCCTGTTGTTCTTCAGTTTTGGCTTGTCAGCCATATTGATCCCTAAAAAAGATGGATCAGAATACATATGTATTTGATCACTCATAGGTTTATGTCTGTTGGTATCAGGTTGAGAGCTGTGATGTTATGCCAGAATACCTCATTCACTTATCTTGTTCACATCACACCAATACACTTAATGGTATGCCAATGCATTGTTTCTCATAGCAAATAAATAATGCAAAACAAATTATTTTTGTTGCATCAATTTTTACACCTACATTGCTTAAATATAAATTGTGGTGTAGCTTTAGCCAATAAAAATGATAAACCAGCACAACATAAAATTGAAATATCAGCCTTTCAGAAAAAAACTCACATATATTTAGTGCTCCAACTGCAGAGCAGGATTCTGGTAGAATGTGATAAAGATCTTAGCTCAGTTTTTGCTGGATAATCTGAAAAATAGAATTAGTTGGTTAAGGCAAATATTAATACCCAAAGCACCAGCATTAGTGTAGCTATGAAAATAAACCATGTTTAACAATTTTGAAAATTCATCACAAGCTAAAATGTAAGATAAACTAGGCTCTACCCTTGCCATCGTATGATCCATCTTTACTTATTTCAATTTTTAAAATTTTCAGACAGATAAACCTATGCAGCGGTTACTCAAATTTCATAGCTGTAAAATCTTATTATTAGCTAACCCAAAAGATGCATTTTTCTTTAATTAATATGATAACCTAACAATGAAAGCAACAGCAGCTCTAATGTTCCTGTTTCATAATATCATACTGAAGAAGCACAAAACAAATCTTCTTTGACAATGGCAAAGGGTCGGAGCATCTTCAAACTAACCTGAACCAGTGGTAGGTAGGTACCAACAGCCATGACAGTCAACAGAAAGTAGAAACCACGGTATAATTAAGGCCTGGCGTCCCAGGAATATGCCAGATACCATTGTAGGTTGTAGGTTTGTAGATTTGTAGGTTTGTAGGTGGTAGGTAAGGTTAGGTCAAGTCAGGTTTGCTTAGGTCTATATATCTCTGTCATCCCAATCTGGCATCTTCCTGGGACGCCAGGCTTACTAATACCGAAACCACTGCTCAGGTGCACACGCACCCTAATATCCAGTTAACTACATTCATTTTGCAAACATGTACCTATGTATATTTCATAATGGATGACGAATCGTGCATCATAATTTGTCAAATCATCAGAATTAATATTCAGCCTCAGCACTCAGCAAAAAAAAAAAACAGATCGAGATAGAAGCATGCTGAAAAACCTGAATTCATTGACATACGATGCTGTAACGCCTAAAGCAAGGTTGCCTTGAAATACTGTTTAGTTTATACGTTTATTCATGAAAGAGAAAGCTCAAAAACTTAAAACACTTGAGGATAGCCACTTAAACAGAAATCGTACAACATGAAAACCACAGCATCTACCATCTCAATAAATCCAAAGCTTTTTCAACACGTAAACAACACACACCTCCCTTGCGGAACCGCCTGCGACGAAACCAGCGCAGGTAGTTTTCTAATAGTTCCTGATAAAAGTATCCTTTAATTTCCCTCATATATATGTTCGATGTTAACAGTGAATTGATATTAACAACAAATAAATAATTTATTGATATTTTCATAAATGAGTTTATAAGGAATATTCACTTTTGACTCTAATTCTTATCCAAAAAAGTAATGATGATCATTGATTGCAAAAGCAACGCACCAGATTCATTTATTGCGCATGGTGATGGCCGCTTGGAAATAGATAGGTGGCGATAAAATATTTATTTAAATTTGTGTTGGGCCGTGCTACATGGTTAACATCAACATAGGTCTGCGTAGCAGTTCATGATATTGTGGTCAATTCTGATCGATTTGTTTGGAATTACGAGTGCTGCTGCTGCTACATGAGTGCAGAGATTCGGTCCGTGGTTATCGTGATCGATTCAAGAGGCTATTTCGGTCATAATTGTTTTGATACTGAAGAAAATATTAGGCAATTGAATCTAGTTTATTCCTAGTTCAAAGGACAGATACTATTTTAACGAACATGGCCTCATTATTTTACAAAATTTTGTTAACATGTGGTATCTTATCACTTCTCCACACTGCATATTCCGCGACCCAGCGTAAGTCCTGGTTCTAGGCTTCTAGCATTTTCTTCCCACATTGATGGCTAGCTCCTTAACATCGTTCTTTATTGCTTGTTTCTTACAGCTTCTATGGTATCTCTCAAAGTTTGCATTTCTATGAACATTGTTTGGATGGGTAAATTTTTGCTTATGTCAGTAGGCGGAACTATGGTCAAGCGTACCCATTTTCGGGAACGCATTTTCGTTCCCATGTTTGGGAACGATAAACCCAAATATGGGAACGCCATGTAGGCATTATTTAAAACAAGAAAAAGAACCGTTAAATGACGTCCAAAAAATATAAAACGATCGTGAACCACCTGATATTTGTCTCAATATTGTTGGGAAAGAGTTTGATATTGTAAGGCCCATCGTAGTTTCAAATCGTTCCCCTATTTCTAAAGCAGTCCATCATCCGGGCCGCGAGCCCAAATTTGGGAACGCTCTCGTACACTGGCGCTGCAAGCGTTCCTTATTATGGGAACGGCGTACCCAAAATTGGGAACGATTTCACCGACGCCTTTCAGGGGCTCTTTTCATTAACAAGCATCACGTCCAACGCCGCAATTTATTGTTAACGCAACAATCATCAGATGACCTTTCCGGCAAGACCGTCGCATGTTTCGCCCGGTCTTCTGCGCTTTTATTCCCGTCGATCTTGCAGCGGGCACGCCCCCTCTGCAGGATTACGTAATTCACAACGCTCAGCGATGTTCAACAAGGTCTTCCATACCTATATCCACCGTCCGCGCCGAGGGTGGAGACATGTCAAGCACCTGTCTGTTTATCACCGATAGTTGACGAGCACAAGGAAGTATCCAAAAATGGGAACGCTGAATATTATACACCCTCAAAACACCTAGTCCCAATGAAAATCTAGTTTTTTCCTTTCTTGATGAGTGTAAGTGGCAAAAGGCCTGGTAGGATGGGCACGAGGAATGATCGAAATCAGCATAAAAATTATAAATAAGCCACACAGAGCGACCTATATAAGAGAAATTCCCTCAAAACGATCACGCTTAGAAACACGGAAGACAAAAACCACGCTCATGACGCTCCTTATAAAACAACTCTAAACAGCTAGCATCCAAATAAAATATGTCTATCTGGGATGATATAATACAGCTGAATAATTTTAAACCACTGAAACTGAGTTTACAACAGTAGTTCGGTAAAATCACTGACGTTCCATGCGGTCGTGCGCCCCGACACCAAATGTCACCAATATTACCCCCGGACTGTCCGTGTGTTCGCTTGCATATGTCAGCATCTGGTGTCGCTAGTATGAAACTTCATAACCAGGCGAAAATTATTATACTTGACCTCAAAATGTAAAAAACGCTTCATTTTCCTTAAAATTGCAAGTTAAATGTAGTATAACCCATGTTTTCACCATTCCATCATTTCAAAAAATCATTAAAAATATCATTCGACGGTCAATTTCCTTGTGCAACGGTCAGATTAAAGATAATTTTATAGAGACTTAGTAGATACTTAAATTAGCGTGCACTTTTTTGAGACGTGATGCACTAAAGAGTTTTAGTGGGCGAACGGCCGAAAAATTACCTTCCGTTCCCATAAATGGGAACGCCCGTTCCCATATTTGGGAACTCCGTTCCCAAAAATGGGAACGTTCCTATATTTGGGTACTCATGACCATAGTTCCGCCTACTGATGTGGATGCATGCATTTTTAGTGTCTGTATCTTATGCATATTGCTGAAAGTGATTAGTTTTAAGCTATATTAGGGTATCAGTGGAATAATTTAGGCTTAAAGCATGGTAATTGATAACTTCAAATGACGTTGGGCTGCATGTATGGTATCTGCACTTAATGCAGGCCCAGATTATTATTCACCTTTGCCTTTGTCAAATCTTACTTTAAGATAATGCTCTATGTTTTGATTTTGATATTTTATTGTGTAAAATAATATTAAGTGGCATAACCATGTGAGGATCTCACCAGGAGACTACTGATTGGTTTCAGATCGGTCCTACCTGCGGCTGACTGAGCAGGAGTTCACATCTCTGCCCATTGACATCATCATCCAGGGAGTTCTGAGTCTCATACTCAGCATGTATGCAATACTCTTCATAGCTGGAGAGTTCAAGGAGATCCGTGCCAATGTCGACCTCCAGGAGAAGTAAGTTTAGCTAGCTGGTGCTGGATGGCTTTGTGGCAAAATTATTTTACTGTGTCTTATGTTTTCTTAAGCAGCCATACATTATCATTCAACTCAGGTTTTGGTCCACATAATTTGGAGTCAATTCAGTGTCAGACTCATGGCTGATTGTCTTATTTTATCTTTTTTAATAGTTTTACTGAAAGCTAATCAGTTGATAGTTGTATCTTGCTCATTTTTTAAATATGATGTTACAGTATAAGCCAAAAAAATGCATTTTTGGGAGGGAACATATCTGCATCATCTCTGCCCCCACCAGTTTAAAGGTCATCCAAACATAATGGGTTTGCCTTTGTATGGCAGTTTTGCAGTGTGTGACATGAGGTGTCTGCCGGCAGGACGTGGGACACGGTCGGCCACCGTCCGTCGTTCATGGTGCTCTCCCACCGGGGCCGCTGTCTGACGGCCCACTACCCGGCTGTGGTGGATGACTGACGACCCGGAGACTCCCCACCGCCTACACGCCTGCCTCCGCCGCCGCCGCCGCCGCCATCGCTCCGCTAGTCACGTGCGCGCGCGCCAGAGCCGCCCGGCCACCGCGAGCCGGCCGTCGGCGGCTGATGTGATCGCCATTCCGAGACTCCGAGTGTGGCGCCGAGCTGGAGAGACGTGAGGTACCCCGCGCGGGGCCCTGCCCGTAGGCAGCACGTGCGAACGATGCCGCTCCCGGTGGGAGCTACCGCCGGAAGGCTGAACAAAGCCGGGTCGATTGAGACAATTGTGTATTATTCAATAATTTTCCGCGAGCACCACCCTGTTTATTCCGCGCGCGCGCGCGTGTGTGTGTGTCGAGTGCGTTAAAGGTGACTGATGTTCCGCCGTGATGGACGGGTGTTGGTGGGTATGATTGGGTGTCGTCCGGTGTCAGAATCACGTGTACTCACTGAGGAAGGGTAGGGTTCGGTTCCCACGAGCCAGCCTCGTATAGGTCAATACAATACTGAGATGAGGAGCTCGTGCAGATCAGGCTTTGACAGATGCGACAACAAAGTGCTACAGGACTGGTGTTATGGTGAATAATAATCAGTTATGTGAAAAAGTGCTGCAGAACGTGAGACTGTAATGAGCAAGAAATGTGCACGGCAGACGCGTGCAGTGCAAGATACCCTGATTTAAGCCTACAAAATGTACTACTGGCTGGATCACAGAATCAAGTGGCCTGTCTGGCGGCACAGCGACATCCGATCATTCCCTTCATCAGCACCATGCCGTGTCTGCGGAGACGGTCCCGCGCGTCGGGGTCGGGCAGACGACCAAAAATCCCACCTAACCCGACCTCGCCTCCACGCAATCCCAAGTACCGATTGTCTGCGTCAGAGGCGGCCGATTCGGCGTCGGCGTCTCCATCTGACTCTTCGGCATCGCCGTCCGTTTCGTCTCCATCCGAACTGGGTTTGTTTTTCGCTAACGGTGCTGAGGTTGCCGCCCGAGGCCGCGAATGTCGTCGTTCGGAGCTGCGAGCCGCCCTCCCAGCCGTGCCGGGCTGTGCGCTGCGGTGTCTCCGCCGCGGTCTGCGCCGTTTGGCCTGCTGTCGTCGCTGCTGCTCCTGCTGCTGCCGCTGCTGGAGAAGCTGCTGTTTCTGGTGACGGTACTCCAGCAGCCACGTATCCGGCCACTGGTCCAGCGGGGAGGGAGCCGGTGAGCTGAGAGACCGCGGCCGCGCCGCCAGCGTCTGACACAGACGGAGCTGTGGGGGGGGGGGGGGAGTCAGTCCGGTCAGAGCGGGTGGAGCTGGTAACTTGAAAGTGACAGTACACAATGGTGGATCTGTACGAACAACAGCACTCCGCACAGCCACAGCGTGAGTGATGGCAGTTAACCGTGAGTTCCTCACTGAGTTCAGCAGACACCATAATGGGACTGGGGGGGCACGTTGTCTTGGTGCCGCTCAGTCGGCGAACGTGAGCATAAATGAGCGGATATTTATTAGCCTAACAATATGTCCAATGTTACAGCACCTGACACCATATCAGTAGACTTCGAGCCATTGTTACTAATGCCGTCCATTCAGCCACATGCCGGTGTTTCCGGTAACGTACCGGTTTTCCTGTGTCGTCCGTGGCGAGGTACGGATCTGGTGGCGGCGGTAGAGGCGTGCTTCGGTCCACGCTGCGTGTGCGGCTCCCCTGTAATAGGCGCCGGTACCTGGCCGAGAGGAACGGGAGTGGAAGCTTAGTGAGAAGCCTCGATGACTCGAAGAATACGTGAAGGGCACTCATTTTCCGAGAAGAGACATGTCAACATACCCTTGTTACGTGTGGAGGTTTTTTTTTTGCAGTCGGGGCATTCCACGTCAAATCCAGCGTTACCGCTGGCGTCTCGCTGGTTTCCCCACATTCTCACGAAAATTTCCCTATTTTAGAAATCATTTCCCTAGATGCGGTTATTTTCATAAAAATTTGACGTACTTTCCTCATTTTAACCATAGATATAAAGATTTTAACTATGTATATGTGATTTTACCCATTCGTGTTATAGTCACTGCGTCCCAAAACAGCAATGAACTACATTCTGTGACGTTAATCAGAGATTCTAATGAAATTGCTGGCATGTAGCAAATTACTGTATAATATAATTTCGTGGTATATCGCAAATTGTGGTGTGTTGCGGGACGCCGGGAACTATACCGTATGGTTAGCGGTAGTGCTGGCGTAAGAGACGAGCGAATGCATTATTTTGCACCGTCAGTTTGACCCACTGAACTCTACAGGGTGATTTTTTTAACTGTTAAAAAGTAAACGTCAATGGTGGTCCCTAAATCGAAAAATCGCGTGCAAAAAAGCAATGCACGTGATAGATAAATCTGGGACATTTTGTATGGTGTCATCATTTGTCCCTTTTGACCGACGGCCTCGGCCCCAATGGAGCCTGAAAATGTCCCACCAATCGGGCACGCATGGTCCACCGCCGTTCAGTAAGGAACGACACAAAATGATGATTTTGAGGCATTGCGGCAGTTCGAAGCATACGATGATCAAGGAGATACCTCAGAAAGACGTTAAATAACGCATGAACAAGCTTGTAGTCATAAATAACCTTCAAACGGTCCATCTGGGGTATGAGCAGCTTTTGAAGAATCAGTCTTCAGGGAGAAAGAAAAACAGCGAATCAGACCCCATCAGGGCTGCCAGTAGGTATCAAAATCCTCGACCTGCCCTCCCTAAACTTCTAGTTTTTGGACCCAGGGTGAGAGAGTGGGTAACTTCAAGCACAAGTAAAATACACGATGGACGTTCCTTCGCATCGTGTCTGCATGAAATCAAAATGTCCCAGAATGCTCGTCATCCTGGCATATAATTTTGCAAGATATGTTTGCATTTTAACCCCACTAGACCTCATTACTTTTAAAGGGACACTCCCACCTTAACATTAGTTTTGAGTTGAGATAGCCAAATTGGTGGCCATGGCCTGCAAATACCGGTTTGGGCACTCACAGCATCGACAAATGCTTTAATTCGGAGATATGGAATTTCAAACTTGCAGTTTTCGGATTCTAAGGGGCTAGTGCATTGGTATGCCCCCTTAGAATTTGTGACGTCAGCGGAGATCTAACGATTTTTAAATCTTTTACTAAAACGTTTGGTAGCACGCGGTGGTATATGCTGCTTTGCGCGCAACAAATGCCGCACTTTCAAATAAAGTCGCTAGGAACAGCGGAGACCCCAAAAAGTAAACAAAAGTAAAAGTCTAATATCTTGAAAACCGGTGAATATTTTTCGATGAAATTTGGTAGATATTCGTTTTCGCTCTTTCTGAACCGAGCGACATCACTTTCGTGCCAATTTATTAACTTTTTTGAAGGTGGGAGGGTCCCTTTAAACAAGTAAAAAAAAATCACCCTGTATAATGTTTGAACTCTCTAGGTTTGACCCACTGAACTCTATAATGGTTTGACCGTAAGGAAGTGATATGCGCTAGACATTGTGAAAATCGCGCCAAAACAAAAATTTTGATGTAAAAAATTAGCCGCACCCGAAATGGTACAAAGCAGAAGGAGTTTGTTTTGAAATAATACCTAGCAAGAATTATATATGCATGCATACATATGTAATTCCCTTTATATCTTTAAAACGAGAGCATCAAACCTGAATTTTGTGAAAAATGTTCTCATATTTATTTGATATGACATGCGGAAGAATAATTCATGACAACAATGGAGCGTTGGAGACAACGCTCAACGAAGGTTGGACAACAAAGAGTGTTGGAGACCCGGTCCCGTAGCTCAGTTGGTAGGGCGTTGGACTCCGCGTGGTGAGAGCACGCGTTCCCGGTTATAACAGTCCGGGTTCGAAGCGCGACGGCACCTTTCCGTGCTTCTATCCTCAGGATACTGAAATCCTTCTCCTCCACGCCACAACCCCCTACCGGGCTGGGCAGGCAACTTTATCTCATGCGGGCTGCTCCCTTGGAGCAGCACCGCTGCTCCCGAGGGAGCGCACCCCGTAGCCGGGTGCAGTGAGCGCCTTGGGGCTGGGTGGCCTGTCCTCTGGACGGGCTCAGCCCCGGCGACTCATTAGGGTGCCTGCCCAGACCAATGTCTCCCCCTAATTCCTATCATCCTTCCGGCTCTGCAATGGTCTTGTCGACCGAAAGGGCCTAACCCAACAAAACAAACAAAAGCGCGACGGGCGCTGGGCATTTATGGGCCTCCTGACAGGTATGGTTGCGGTTGGTGGCAGGCCGTAGCCACGCGAAGTCGGTGAGGGGGCCGGCTATGAGGGCGCGGCTATGTGCACACGTTAAACTTTGAACTCTAAATTCTGCCATAGAACTGGAATTGCGCGATCGGAGGGTAGAGGGCAGAGTCACCGCAACAAGCTTCGCTTAGCGGTGGCTCTGTCCTTGTGAATCCTTCCTATCAAAAGGTTTGGACTAAATTTATTTAAAAAAGAAATGATTTTGATCGTTGAAAAAACAATTTTTCGGGTTTGTGGTATTTCCCTAGATTTCGTGTGAAATCCATATATCCCTAGATCTTCGCTGATTTCCATAGAAAAGGGAAATTTCCCTAGCAGCGGTAACCCTGGTCAAATCGAACAAAAATCGGCTGTTTTGCACCTTACCATCAGCGATTTCATTATAAATTTGTGAGCGAGTTCCTGTGCCGCCCCGGACATTACATTGATGTTTTTTGCACATTCTGACCACAGGTCTTCTAAATATAGGGCATCAAATTTTTACAAAATGTTGCATTTTTATATTTTTGAACGACCATAACTTTGGTTGTACTTGTTTGATTTGAATGAAATAAACCTTACTGTTTAGGTAATTTCTTAAGCATTTGTTAAGAATTGCATCGACTTAAATATATGACCTTGAAATTTGCTGAACTCTGTTCTTAAGCACAAAAATTGAAATAGCAAAAAACACGCCACCTTCGATTTGGCTCATTTTCATATATTTTATTGCCTACCATATTCTTAACAACCTGTGAAAAAATTAGAGTGGGCCATTCATAAGTTTTGAAGAAAATGGCACATATGCAAACGTATGTTAGCACACGCAGTGGAGGGGAAGAGTGAATTTCGCCCCACCCCTCCTGTTTTTCGCCAATATCTCATAATATTGATGCGAAATTACTTATGGCTACCTGTCCAGAATTGAATTGCACATCTCATCGTGCAAGCAATAAGACAATCGGTTCACAACTGTTCTAGTAATAGCGGTGTAAAGTGAACATCCTGTCGCCGCGGCAACGCGGCGACTCGGCAGCCGGCGCCGACCGCTACGCGCCGCCTGAATTGTAGACTGTGCCGGGACGGGACGGAACGGTTCCGTATTTACATCGCGCTCCTTACCGCGGATTACGTTCGATTCGCATCAAATTTTGTGAGAAGACTAAGAAATGTACAGGCAATCTTATGGTGAAAGAATTCTGAAAATAGGTTGGTAAACAATTGAAATATGAACGTGTAAACACACAATTGTGACTGCTGCATTTCCCGCGTCGGCCGGCGGCGCGGCGACATGTTACTCTTAGCAGGACTCTAACTGCCATATTTATTATCGGATTAACTAGAAATTCCCCATACATACTCAAAAATGTATGTTCTTTCATATAGTGAAGATCAAAAGACGTGAAGATATCGTTGCGTGATCATGTTTTCGTTGAATTTATTTCATGATGCATTTCCACACGGCTCAAAATTCACCGAAAAATACCGTTTGCCTGAGACACTTTTACAATGGAACGTGAATGCTTGACTACGATGACTATGCATTTCCATTCTCGCAGAGTTTGGGATATCACTAATCAGCAATCATTCATTTCAGAAAGTGTACACAAGCAAGCATGTCTTGACTCTGTCTTTCAAGGTCACGCGCGGTTGCGTGATGTTGATGCATGAAAACGGCGTTTGCCGCGAAAGTTATGAATGGCCCACTCCAATTTTTTCACAGATGGTTAGGAACATTGTGACGGACATAATATGTAAAAATTACTCAAATCGAAGGTGGCGTGTTTTTTGCTATTTAAATTTTTCTGTTTTAATTCAAGGTCAAATGCATTTCAAGGTCACTTCAATTTAATTTTATAATTAAAAATCAAAGCCTTATCAATTGCCTACAAGACCCTGTTAATATCATTTGGATACCAGAAAAGGAACCAGAGTTATAAGCATTTAAAAAAATGATGTGTGGCATTTTTGGCTATATTCGATGAGCTATATCTCGGCGATACGTTATCAAATTTCGAAAATATTACACGTAACTCAGTTTTGAACCATGCCCAGTCTGCCTACAAATTTTCAGAAAAATCGAAGGGGATGACGGATTTCGGTGTTTGATTTGACGTGGAATGCCCCAGTCGCCACTCGCCACACGTACATACATCAAATTTGTCTGAATCTGTCTAGTTATGATCTCCACGAGTTTGCCTTTATAATGGCGCGTTTCGGCCTCACTTCTCGAAGTCGGTGTTGTCGTTGTCGAGTCGTTTCGAGTCCATGATCTCGGCGAGGGCGCGCATCAGTCGGATGTCGGCGTCCAGGTGTCGCCACTGCAGCTGGCGCCGCGCCGCCTGCCGCCGGCCGGGCTCCACCACGTGACGGGGCCGAGTCGGAGGGCCCGAGTCCACCACCGCTGACGCTGAGGCGACCTGAAAGGAGGGGGAGGAGTTGGGGGCTTGTGGAGGGGTCGATATTTTTGGTACAGGGAGGAGGAGTGGCGAAGAGCCGGGCCGCTACTCGCTCCGCTCTGCACAAGTAGGAAACTTGAATTATCCAGCCCAACACCCGAGCAGTGTGCTGATGAAAAAGCAAGGCTCAAGCCACAGGAATATGCACTTGTTCCCTCTTTAGATATTCTGTGTAGCTTGGCCGTTAGTGGAGTTGGCCGTTGCTATACAAGGGAGAAAACTGAAGCAATGGCAGAAAACTCAACCGGACGTGAGTTGTGAACAATGCTACGAAGGCTGACAGTCTGACACAACTACCCAAGAAGAGGAGAGATCACTTACTCTGCTGCGGTGTCCGTGGTAGCGGAGCTGCCGGTAGGGCTCCATCATAATCAGCTCCCGGCGCAGCATGCTGGCGCTCTGACGGACGTCCTAACGGTGGAGCCGTTCAGCCGACCAGCTACAGCTGCTGCAGCACGGGTCAACCGGCTGATCAGGCCGTCGACTGCTAATGGCAAGCTGTACAAACAGAAAATCTCCTTTCCCTTCGTCAGGCTGCGAGGAAGACACGCTCAATTTCACACGGCCACTTCTTATTCCACCGCCGTTCTCCCAAGATAGAGCCCTGCTTAGGTCTGCGAGCCCACCCTTTTACCAGCTCCAACTCATCTCACCTCGTCCCGCTGTTTCCGCGTCTGGCACCACACCACCGACCAGTTCCGTGCCCCCGTCCCGTCTGTGGCGACTGACGGTCCGTGAGCGGCCGGAAACGGTCGCTGCAGTCGCGCCGTCGCCGTGCCGGGTACCGACGGACGCAAACGTCGACTCCGACGACCGCAGCGTCGGCTCCGACGGCTCCCGGGTGAGGGAGCGCAGAGGGAGGCCCGTGCCAGGCGGGGCCGTCGCGATTCGCCTACCAACACACCACTGGACTTTGGTAGGAAAATTACGGATTGAGAAGGAAATGTTGACTGCCGGTAGGAATCTGCATACCTACTATCGAATGTATATACTCAGCCTGCATTCAAAACGCATGGCTGGTCAGTAGGAATCAACTATCTTAGTGTGTATGCTTAGCCTGCCGCCAAAATACATGGCTAGCGCTTACACCGTGCAAAGAGCTATTCAAGACCTTGTCGAGTCCAACGAAACGAAAACATGAGTGACCTCTGACCGACTGCTCCGAGTCTCACAAACAGCTGATCTCAGCGGAGCCGCGGGTCAGCTGAGCGGACGCAGAGCTTCGCCGAAAGATCACCCAGCCCTCTCAGGGGTTACTTGGGGGTGGGGGGTAATACAGGGCCCGGTGGAGTCAGCGAAACATGACACAGACCCCAGGGAGTATACAGCTACGCTGGAACGATACTGCCAGCAGGGGGTCTGGGGAACGAGGGTACTTGCATCGGTGTTGGAACAAAGGGATTCTTTGTTGAGGTCGTTTATGCGGTCTGAGCTTTGGAGCTGGTTGAAAACGATTCTTCTGTAAACATGAGTGTCTGATGCGCAGTGTTTGTTTAAGAATGCAGAGATCATGGTCGAGTTTGGTAGTGCGGCTTCATATTAGATGAAGCCGCGCAAACTGCCTGCACAAAAGACGCCACCTTATTTGCACAGCGACTCATAAACAGCACACCCTCTCCTGAGTTGAACCGGTATGGCAGCGAAGCCTCCCATCCCGTGCCGTCCGTGCCGCCCGTCCGTGCCGTCCGACCCGTTCACAGACCCGGCCCGCCCACTGCGGCAGCCATCGACCACACACTGCCTATCGCAGAGGGGCGTATACCCGGCTCAGTCTGAGCGTCCGTTATACCCAACGCGGTGCACTCTCGAGCCTCGTGGCTGAAATGGAAGCTTTAGCATAGCCTGCGCCATTGTGAGGCTTGTCAACACATTTCCCGATATAAAATTATCAACCAAAAAAAAAACTTTTGAGATAGATCGGTGACATACCCCTCCGACGAATCTCTATGCACAAAGGAAAAAAGACCCATCACAAAAACGGGCTCAGATAACACGTACTACAGTTTTGGATCTCAACAGTCAATACAGTAAATACAGTCCGACCTTTTATTCATTCCTACATACCACAAGAAAAAGCAACAGGTGACACTGAACAACGTACATCGGTTCTCACATTCATCACGCCATAGACCTCTGTATACAGAGGTCTATGATCACGCAAATACATCATTACTCAAAAACCAAGAATGCTGGTCAATTCTCACGACCCACCTGGAATTCATGGTAACGAGTGTCAACCCACGGAGGCGGAAAACTTATTTGTAGCTTGTGGCTTATTATAGCTTATTTGTAGAGATGTTCGTAGGTTTTACAGAGCGATAGGTTTGTTTCGAAAAATCTAATGAGCGCCATTTGTGCAGCCCGATCATGGATGAAACAACCCTAGGTAGTGGGCAATCCATGGTTTTACCGTGTAACTAGCCAAAATAGCGTAAATCGATTAATAAAAACGGCATAGCGCAAAGTGTGTCTAACTAAATATAGTTTACCGGATGCAAATTATCTTCAACAGAGACATTCACAACATAGCCCCATCATAATCCAACTGATAAGAGCCACCGCGCTAATACGCCGTGCGATCGTGGTACAGTGACACGGACGACGGGCCCCGCCGATGGGCGACGCCCACCCTACTTAGCTCAGAGAATATCGATGACATCATTTCCAGCGGAGTGTTGACATCGCAAACAGCAGGCAATTAAATAACCACGTGTCAACCGATCGCTCTTCCTTGAGCCGCTGCTAGTCTGGCTTACATCAGATCACGTTAAAATCCCGTTGGTTATCTCATGGGTCTTTGTCGATACCCCGTCGATAAGTGCTGCCACCTACCGACAAGAAGCACAAGTTGCGCTACTGATGACGGCCACAGGCAGCTCCGCTCCGGCGATATATCACCAAAGTGATCACCGAATCACTTTCCGATCCGCTGGAAGCTCCAGTCTCGCTGGCAGAGCGGGCAGCGGTTGTTTTTCTGCAGCCACTGTGACATGCAGCAGTTGTGGAACGAGTGGTTACACTCGCCCCAGATGACCACGCAGTCGTCCTGCTTGCTGCCCGAGGCCTCCGACTGACACCGGTAGCACGCGTCTGAAACAGACAGGGGAGACGGCTTCAAACGGAGAGAATAGACACAGAGCGGGAGCAGATACCGGCATTACGGTCATAGACAGAAGGCGGGATCAACAGCGAGTCCATAGAACTCGGACAGATGACCAAAAGCGAGTCAGATGAAGGGTATAGAAATTAGAAACCAATCACCGTTCCGTGCTTCTATCCTCAGGATACTGAAATCCTTCTCCTCCACGCCGCAACCCCCCTCCGGGCTGGACAGGCAACTTTATCTCATGCGGGCTGCTCCCTTGGAGCGGCACCGCTGCTCCCGAGGGAGCGCACCCCGTAGCCGGGTGCAGTGAGTGCCTTGGGGCTGGGTGGCCTGTCCTCTGGATGGGCTCAGCCCCGGCGACTCACTAGGGTGCCTGCCCAGACCAATGTCTCCCCCTATATCCTATCATCCTCCCGGCTCTGAAATGGTCTCATTGGACCGAAAGGGCCTAACCCAACAAAACAAAAAGAAACCAATCCACAGAGAGCAGCGAGAGGACCAGCTAGTCTAAATAAAAGGGTGGGTGTGATAGTGTCAGTGTGTTGTCAGATGATCACTTCGAGAGGGTTGGTGTCAAATGATCCATTCGAGAAAGCCGGAGAGTCTATTCAGAAAACTGTTGGGAAAGAGGCAAGCGATAAAAAATATCGATGATCATTGATCCATGCAGCCACGAAACGTAACACTAAAAAGCTCAGATTACCTAAATCTTATGCATTATGCGTAGTCATGACTCATGTCGAACTTTCTACTAACTACGTCTGTACTTGCGTAAGACCATTTTTTGAGCGAGGTCTGTTCGAGAAATACCTATCTGCGTTTCCATTTTTCTAAAAATAAAAATGGGGTGATTTATTTTATTGCCCAATTTCCAGACAGATCGCCAACTTTCCAAAACCCGATTGCATCAGGTTAACTAAACCCTTCCCAATACATAATGCGCCACAATTTCCATGACCGACATTGAACGCATTTCGGGCTCTTCGCCGTAAACACTCGCAACCCTTGCAACACCTCGCACGAGGCCAAACATCTGTCTCTCTGATGACGTCATGAAACGATCCCGCAGACGGCGAGCCGGTAGCTGTATTCCCTGGCATCGCACCGCCTCTGTGTCAGAGGCTGGCAGCTCGGTGAATGGAACGCACGAGCACCGCTCCGGGGTAGGGGCGGACGTTTCATGCATGCAATGATCGGCGACCTGGGTAGGACACGGCCTAACTATTGTTTCCGACAGAACAGCCGTTCCTTGTATGCCGCGGCCCGCTCTGCGGGTACATGCGTCGCCGTTGGGCTGCAAATGCTTACAAGATAGGTCACAAGCCTAATGTTAATAGTCGCTGGGTAACGTTAAGTGACCTGGACGTGACGAAGTGACCGGCGAGAAATGAGCATCCACCAAAGCTCGCACTGCCGGTTTCAAGCCGCTCGGGCGGATAGGACAGTCTAGCTAGCCCGGCAGCGCCGAAAGCGGCCTCTCTGCCAATCGGCAATCATGGCCAGAGCCTTAGGCTAGCAGACCAAGCCTTCCTCGGAGCGGATCACGCCGGCTCAACACGCCGGGTAACGGAGCGCGGAGCAGCGCTGCCAGCGCGGACAGAATGCACAACAGCGCCACAGGCCACACACAGTACACACACACACAGCTGAGGGCAGCTCCAATTCTCAGGTCACACAATGCTACAGACAACTGTGCTAACAGCTGTGAGCAGCACCACAGACCGTAAATAGCGGTGAGCGGTGTCAGAGTTGACAACACATGGGTTCGGCTTTCCTGTACAGAAATAAATGATATACTTCTCCAGCATTATCTCAAAGAAACAATTGTGATACAGCGTCAAGGTCAGTGGAGTCGTGGACATCTCTCTTCTAGAGAGCCAAGTTTCACCATCAGACAGCTTCAACTATGGTGGATCTTTTTTCTGTAGGGCTGAGTCTTCGTATGCCCACTGCCCAGCCTACTCATTTTACCGGTATGAATAAAATATACATAGCGCACCGGCACCATGTATGCGCAGATTGCCCAAGCTTCATCCAAAGTTTCGGAAAACAGGACCTCGCCAGACGCCGGTTAAACCTCATGACCCATTCGGCAACAACAAAGCGACCGGCAAAGTTCTAAGAACGGAACACATTAGCAGACATGAGCCATTAACGACTGACGAGCCTGTTGTGTGTCTGTGCATTTGGACACTGGCGGTCGCAGCCGCTCGCAAAAGGGGGGGCCAAATTCACACTCGCGGGACATAACATTCATCAGTCACCGGGGGGGGGGGGGGGGAGGGTGATCGGCTAATTTTTTACGTCCACGAGGCGCCGCGCAGTTGGCATTACTTATGCTTCATCCACCTCATTCTTGCGTGAAATCTTTATAAGCTCAATTTAAAGGGACTATCCCACCTTCTAAAATGTTGTTAAAACCAGTTAAATTGTGCCCGACTTTATAGATTGGATGACCAGGAACACGGTTCTGGCATTTATTTTTCATTAAACATCTTAGGCTTCCCATATTCCAAACACAAACTTTCAAATATGTGACGTCACAGTCCAAAATTACCTCCTTCCCCAGGCCACATTACTGTCATAAAGCTGATTCTTTTTACTCTGTAGGCACCACAACAAAGTTCAGACCAAGTTTTAAGCGATTTTTCAACGAACAAACCCATTTAAATCAGAATGACTAAACGAGGTGACGTCACACTAACGGTCGCTCCATGTTGAAGATAGGGCCTTGCACAAGGCCCATTTTCAAATGAAGGGAACGAATTTCTTCAACACCAAGAGGCCGCGGGGGTTGCAACCTAGATAGATAGTGGTTTCTGAACCTCGCCGCAAACTTGGCTATCTCAACTCAAACCCCATGTTAAAGGTGGGATAGTCCCTTTATGGCAAAAGCACCAGTTCCATTTCCCGTCCCACGGTGTTTCCACCGGTCGGGCCACTGCACCATGGCGACGGATCGGTGTAGCATATACTGGAAGGTCGGGCACGCGGATTCATGACCTTATCACAATAAAACAATTCGGAAAAGTACGGATACCTCTTGCTTTGAACAAGCATGTGAAACCCAGAGATCATTTTCAGACTAAGACATTTACCCATATAGTTGTTTGGCGGCGGGAGAGAATAGGTACGCCGACCTCTGGAGACCCCCGGCCCCACAGGTTCCTGGTTTTCAAAATTGGCATCTGAGGGCCGCGCACGACTCGCGCGGGGCCTCGCAACGGCTCTATTGGGGCTCACTCAACCTGCCTTATAGTCCTACTGCTAAAAAGACTGGCCCTGAGCCCTAAGGACTTAATCAGTCTCTGCCAGCCCCAGGACCCACACCGGCTCATGGGGTCCCGACGTCGAAATATGAGGGAATCTGCGCGGGACCATCAGGACGTAAAGTAATCTCGATCAGGACCAACGTACGGCTGTGCAGGAGTCTGCGTGAGCCCTGTGATCTTCAGAAGCCCACCCATGTATGTTTTCACTTAGAGTCCAGTTTAGGGCCCTCAGAGACCAGTACAGGGCCTGCAAACTGCAAAGGCCAGTAGTTTGAGACCATCAGAGACCGAGTTGGGCTCTCGGAGGCTTATGTGGGTCCTACTCATTACAGGCCAACATGGGGCCCTCAGAGGTCAGCGTGGGGCCCTAAAAGACCGGAATGAGCCGTCGTTGGAACCCAGAGGCCAGCAGAGGGCCCTCAAAGGCCAAGATGAGCCCTCCTCAGAGGCCAATGCAGGCCCTTAGAGGCCAGCATCGGGTCTTCAGCAGCCAATGCGGGGCCCTCATCGGCACCTAAATGTTCGTCTTGGGACACCAGAGACAGCAATAAGGCCACTAGAGACCGGTGTGAGACCCTCAGACGCCGGTTGGGGCCCCTGAGGCCGGTAAGGGGTCCTCATAGGTCAGATGTGGGGCCTCAGAGGTCGATGTGGGCTCTTAGCGGTCAACGTGGGCGCTTGACCGCCACTGAAGTTCCCTCAGAGGTCAGTGTTGGACGCTCAAAGACCGGTGTGGGCGTGTTTTTTTTTTAGCCTCGTGACGATCGAATCAGCGCCAGGGTCCCATACACCTATGGGGGCCCATCGGTTGCTTGAGGGGGGGGCAAATGATATGATGGCCCCCTTTATGTGCCTTGGGAGGGCATGGCCCTGATGCCCCTCGCGACCGCCACTGTGTACACATTACATACAGGCCTCTGAAATTACATACTAGCTAATGCAAACTCTATGCAGGCCCCGGAGATCCCACGCTAATCCTTAGGAAACCAAGCCGGCATACGGCGTCACCACCGGGCTTCTGAGGTGCACAGCACCAGCCCATGAGGTCTTACTTTAGTGACTTAGAGCCACGCTCCTTTGGCAGGGCCCACCCGCCACTGCCGAAGAGGTCTCATGCCAGCCATTGCTGGGCCTACGAGAGCCTCAAGTAGACCCACGCTGATATTCCATGTAAGGTGCGGCCATACTCGTGAACCGGTGCCAGCGACGCTGACCGCCAAATTGACAGAATACGAAACTGAGCCCACCCATGAGTGAAATTTACGTCCTTTGATGGCGCAAGAAAGAAAATGAAACATACAAAAAGCTTTTCTAGGACTTTTGTTCGATCTGAAAGGTGGGGCCAAAAGATAGTATGGCCCCACCTTTCAGCACCAAAGGGGGGGCCATGGCCCCCGTGGCCCCCCCCCCTGGGACCGCCAGTGCATTTGGACTCAGCGCCCCACAGATCGCTAGTTAAGCGGTCAATTCTTGGAAAAAGCGCAGGCCACAGTATGCTCATGTAGGTAAGGCGTATGAACCACATCGTTTTGAGTTTTAAATAGACGTCTCCCGGGCAAGCACGACCTGCAATGTACGAATGCAATGGCCTCCTAAATGTGAAGAAATGTAGCAATGCGTCGACGGATAAGATAACGAAATGTTGCGGAGCGGTGGAAATTTCCCAGGTTGCAATATTTATGTGTGCATCTATGGCGCATCATAATATGCGTGCTTGTAGTGAGTCGTGACATAACCATTAACCATTGAGACTGTTCTAGATTATATTTGTTAATTAGCAGACATGGGCACGGATCCCAGACGACCAAACGCGAAAATCAAGATGGCCACTAGATTAGTGGACTTTAAGCATGGAATTGTGGTGGAAAACATGGCTAATAGATGCCTCTCAACGAACCAACTATTTTGCATTCCTTCAGAGTTCACAGTTTTGAGAAAATCCCTCAAGATCCATCTCGGATCCATGGCCACGAATCATGGATCCGAGATGGATCTTGAGGGATTTTCTCAGAACTGTTAACCCTGAAGGAATGCAAAATAGTTGGTTCATTGAGAGGCTTCTATGAGCCATGTTTTCCACCATAATTTCATGCTTGAAGACCGTCAATCTAATGGACATCTCGATTTCCGTGATTGGCTGTCTGGGATCCGTGCACATGTCTGTTAATTAGTAATATGTTTATAATTAAACTAGCACGAGGAAATAATTTTTCGGCACAATATCGACGATTTTCACATCAATTATAACCAGGGCTGCGGAGTCGAAGTCGGAGTCGGAGTCGGAGTCGGTCGGAGTCGACAGTTGTGACCGGAGTCGGAGTCGGAGTCGGAGTCGATTTTAGAAACCCGAGCCGGAGTCGGAGTCGGAGTCACCGAAAATCTGTCGACTCCGCAGCCCTGCTAGGTCTGCGGAGTCGGAGTCGGGAGTTGGAGTCGGTCGGAGTGGACAATTCTGCCCGGAGTCGGAGTCGGAGTCGGAGCTGGTTTTTGGAAGCCAGAGTCGGAGTCGGAGTCGAAGTCGCCGAAAATCCATCGACTCCGCAGCCCTGAATTTATAACAATTATGTCTACAACTATTCCAACCATGGAAACAATCATACACTAAAAATGTCTATTGTTATGCTTAGCTAAAAAAGCTCAAGAAAAAAGTATCAAATTGGACATACCTATCGGGGGAAGTGCCCAGTGCGTCTGTTACTTTAAGCAGCTGCGTTCAGTATAGGGTTATTTCAGATCTAGCCACACCTTGTTATCCACATTTCAACCAGTCTCGGCAGCCAGGGGTCTCTGGTTCCGGCTGTACGTCTGGGTCCCACGCACTCGCTCACTGGCCCACACAATATCACACATACGCACCGTTCATCACCCCCCCCCCCCCGGTGTCGTAAGCCGCGCAGGCCGCCCCCCCCCCCATACCCGCGCGCAGCACGGGCCGCCGCGAGTTTACGGGTGTTTTCTCCTCTCTTTACCCCCCCCCCCCCCCTCTCACAGATCGTGAATGGGACGTCTGTGACGTCATCAAACGCAGCACACCCACGTCACAGCGAGGTGTTTGCACTCACTGCGATGAACGGTCGACGGATGTTTCTAGTTAGTACGCCAGCCTTACTTGTGCACCGGGAGTGATTACGAAAGTGGCATACAGCAATGAAGATAAGCTTTGTGTAAATATTTGGCGTCACGACAGTCGTACCATGATCCGTGACGGTTGAAACATGGTGAAATGTACCGAAATGTTGATAAGAATACGTCAACGCTGATGTAATTCATAACACAGAGAAAAGTTTTTGAAGCAACGGGGAACTGAGCTCGGTTATCCGGGCTGATTCGTCGGGAAACTCGCGCTATCAACGAATACGGCTACACCAGCTGACACTAAAGAGCGGCTACACATCCTTTGCCGGCCCAGTTTCTGTCCTTGTTCCAATGAAAACTCGCACAAGACTATAATAATCTCCAATGGACGAAGGAGACGGGGGCACAATGTGTTCCCCCACCCACTCAACTCACGCCTGAAAGATGATCGATATAAATGTACGTTTGGTCCATCCAGGTTGTTGTTGTTGTTGTTGTCGGTCCCCGCAGCCGCGGCGAAGCCGCGGTGTAGCCTAGTGGCTCTGGAGGGCCCTGAAGGCGGCCACCAGGGCCGCCACTGCATCGCTGCGCCGAACCTCCTCTGGGGTCGGCAGTATGTTGCCGATGGCCTGGGTCCGGAGGCGGACCCCCATCATCCCCGGGCATGTCAGGAGGATGTGTCTCGGTGTGTCGGCTTCCTCTCCACAGAGCCTGCAGCGGGCCGCGATACAGCCGAGACTGCGGCACTGTGGGCAGTCCACGGACGGGTTCCTCCCTATCTCGTGGAGGAACTGGGCGGAGCCGCTCCATCGCCCAGTTCGGATCTGGTGGACGTCGATTGCGCTCGTCCTGTCCATGTTGGAGATTGGCGGTGGGTACCCTGTGCCCATCAGCTCACGGTACCAGCCGGTCGCGGCCTTGTGTTCCGGGTCCGGGTAGGACGGCCTCTCCCTGGCGGCGCGGTCTCTTGCGGTACGGACCGCTGCTCGGTAGATGGTCTCCACGTCGAGCGGAACGTCCTCCTGCGCCAGAGCCGCGGCCTCGTTCGCCAGTGTGTCGGCGGCCTCGTTGCCCGGGATCCCGCAGTGGGATGGTACCCACTGTAGGGTGACCGGTCGGTCCCCAGCTGACGCCTTCCGCAACAGCTGCCACACCGTCGCTCCTCGGGCAGACCGCTGGGCCGACGGGCCCTCCCTCAGGGCGGCCACGGCCGACATGGAGTCCGTGCAGATGATGACTGGATCCGTGCCACTCTCGTTCTCGATGATGTGCTCTAGGGTCTTCTGCAGGGCTACCATCTCTGCTCTAAAACTTGAGCAGAGGGTGCCCGCCGGGATCCGAAGCTCGGTGCGGCTGTCGTCCGCTCCGATGACCAGGGCGCCAGCCCCTCCTCGGAGCACTCCACCGCTCGCTGAGCCATCGGTCCATGCCCAGATGGCGCACTGTGTCAGGGACGCGAGATGCTGCAGCGCCGCCTCCCTCTTGGTCGAGTTGGCGGCCCCTGCGGGAAGAGCGCCGATCCCCACGTTGAATGTGATGGGTCCGCTCGGTGTCCACGGCGGTGGCCTCTTCGGTAGCAGGGGCTCGACTGGCAGCTCTACCCGCAGCTCCCGCAGGACTTCTCGGCCCACCTCCCGCCAGCCGGTGATCAGCTTGAGCCGCCGCGGTGGGTCATCCATGGCGAGCTGATGCAGGGGGTCCTCCGGCGGCAGGGCGGCGGCCTTCGCCATCATGCGCGCCGCCAGCGCAGGGCGCCTGGCCGATACGGGGAGGATCCCGGCTTCAGCCATGACGCCGTGATGGGGCGCCGAGCGGATACAGCCCGTGACCACTCGGGCCGCGGCGCGCATCTCCCGGTCCAGTAGTTCCACGTTGGTTTTTGACGTTGCCGGCAGCCAGGCAGCAGCCGCATGTTCCAGCGCGCCGCGCACGTAGCCATTGGCCACGGCGCGCAACTGCTGCTCCTTGAGTCCCCAGCTGCGGCCGGTGAGGCGTCGTAGTTGGGCGGTGCGGGGTCGGACGCGCCGGCGGAGGCTCCTACAGTGTGCGCCGAAGCCCAGCGTCCTGTCGAGAGTCACTCCCAGTAACTTCAGCTCGGCTCCCCCTTCCACCAGCTGGCCCGCCACGCGGATGTGGCAGTCGGCGGCGTCTCGGGGGTTCTGGGAGAGGACGAGGAGCTGGGTCTTCTCGCCCGCGACCTCCATCTTGTTGCGGCGGGCCCACCTGACGAGCGAGGTGGCCGCCAGCTGCGCCCGCTCCCGAGGTCCATCCAGGTGGACCGTGCTTTGCTTTGAATTTCCCTGAGCCAAACAAGGCAACACACAAACAAAGCAAAAGTAATCGCGCTGTGAATCAGTAACAATATCGGAATGCACTGAGATTATTGCATCAGGTAGAGATCTCTATGGCTGCTGCCCACCACAGGTATGCATTCTTCACGAGTCATGGTCCCGATGGTAGGTACTCGTGGCACGGAGGTACAGGTATACTCGTACAGATTGCATCGCGGACTGCGACGGCGCGGCAGCTCGTCCCAGATGAAGCCAGACGCCGCGAGAGAATGGCTGGTCAGCTTCAGTTTACGTTTTGTGGTGAATTGATTGGTCAATATTGGCGTCCATAGAAAGCCTGGCAGATATCGGGACATAAACAAACTACATCCAGCAAAGGTCACAATCTGTCAAAATGACACAATCACCCGAAAATAACTGCGAAATAGTTCACGCTGGAAATCGCAGCCATCTGAACCACTTCTCACGCACGAAAAATGATATAAATCAACCAGTAGGTATAATAAAAAGCATAGGGGAACCGGGGGGGGGCAGTAGGGGGCAGCTTGCCCGCCCCCCCCCCCAACTCCGGGGCCGTGGGGGCGGTGCCTCCACAACTTTGAGACGGAATATCGCAATTTTTTCAAATGTTTTCTTTTTTTGTTGAACAAGCCAAGAGATGAAAAACAAGTGGCCTAAGACTAGTGAGAAAACTAGATTTGGGGGTACCCTAGGTTGATCTCTACTCTACTCTATTATGGTGTGCCCCCCCCCCCCCCAGTCTGAAAGTAGTTCCCGCGCCCCTGATAAACAGGGTAAGGGGAATCAGGAATGCTCGTTTCAAATACAAGTTCACTCAACAGGTGAAAACGAAGAAGCACATCACCCATCCCCATGGTACGGTCAAGAGCTCATTCATACGACATTTGAGACGCATCTGGCAAATCGACTCATTTCACGTGATAGTGACTGTTTTCACATCACCCTTGACCAGCCCCCAACTCAAATATTGATTCAGCGGCGCGGGTTTACGAGAGTGGGACACGTGGCGTCCTTGATTGCGCATCCCCGACCCAGGAGGGAGACCTCAGGGCAGCGCCATCTTGACGTCAATGGTACTGGACGACACGGCGACGACAGGGGCAGCCTGGCAGGGCGCACGGCAGACGCGCAGTTGACCGCGAGGAGGCGTGTCACCGGTGGAACTTCGACAAAGAAGGGTCCGATGATAGCATTTGGGATGACGAGTTCACAAGAAGTTCACAAATATTTTCAACTGGGGCAGCAATTCTCTCTTACACATTGAAAAATAAATCATCGGTCACCTACGCTCTTCTCGCGCTTTCCACATTACGACAAATGTTTTAAGCATAGCATAGTGATTTTGCTATGCATTTTGTATGAACATTGCTCAATGCACATTGCACATAGGTACCGATGCCTTTCGCTGAGTTATTTGATTATTTGGTGCAATATACAAGGCCTGGAGTAAGTTAGGGATATTGTATTTGAAAAAGTTTACACTTTGGGGAGGTGTGACTGGAGGCACGTTGGGGGTGTGCTTTGTGTAATGTGTAATACGTGTTGGGGGCGTGTTTGGAGAGGCGGTACACAAAGCCGAAATTGGGCCTCAGACTGGTGCCCCTGCATCTTATCAAACAGCTCACTAACGAACGTGGCATCGCCCGATCCAAACTCGAGCCCAGCGATGATCTCAGATTGTTGTTGGGCGTGTGGCCTTTCAAATTCTGATGAAATATACTTATTTCTTTTCTCAGCCGAAACTGGTAAATAAAAAACAGATCGGGTTAACTAAGCGCAGGACCGATAACGGATGGATTCAACCATGCACACACAAACATTAATTAGCCCGCGATTGCATGTCATGCATACGTTGTCCATGGTCAGGCCGGATAAAGCAGTATCAACAAGTTACATAACCACGCAGCCGGGCCGGGGGTCGCGGACCCGCACATCCGCCCCGTGAGTGGAGGTAGCAGCAGCGGTGGCCATCTCTCAGCCCGAGACGGAAGCCGACAGTTGGCGCTAAGTGGAGGACGGCAGCGTGCCCCGTCACCATCACCACTTCCCCCAAACGCCGGCACTACACGGTTATTTCCACTAGTGCGGACACCACGGTCACCGACACGACAGCCGACATCAGAGGGAGCCGACACGGCCGGATGCAGGAGATGACGGCGGCGGAGGCGTGCAACACGCGAGGCCCGACCGCGCCCCTGCGCCGCTGGCCGACGCGTCGTGTCGGGTGTGCTGGCAAACCACGCGAACGACACACCAAGTGCTGAACTTACGACGCACTTCCTGGCCAGTGTCCACCGTCCAGCTGGGCTGAGGATTCACGTTTTAAGAGGACATTTCTCCGGAATAAAAACACTGAGTCATGAAGCTTTGAGCCTTGAATATATGCGTTTGACAAGTGTCCTTCATGTGAGCCAAAACAAAGCATAGATAATTTAATTATTCAAGTGTAATCATCTGGGAACTGTCCATAGCAGGAAATGTTTATGTTTAGCGAGCTTCAAGTTGGGGTGACGTATTCATAAGACAGGAAAGAGATGGGAAGTAGGACAAATAAAAAGTTGAGCTGGGAAAAGGAAAAAGGCAGGTAAAAGAAAACAACATATTTGACAAAAACAAAAAACTAATCGAGCAAGAAAATAAGGAGATTGTTGCAACGTTAACTCTTACTGACCATCCACCAGGCCAACTTAACGTCAACATAGCAAAGTTGGCTGGCAGTGGCACAACACCTCTGATATAGCGCCTCAACGGCATCAGGCGCATCCATTCAAACACTCCACGGCACGGTTACCACATTTTACAAAGCTTGAGCGGAAGGCCTTCGGCACAGAACAACAGTCATTTCTCTGCTGTGCGGCGGCGGCGCTGTCCCAGAGACTGACCAGAGCGCGACTTTGCGACACGCACAGGCCGTCTGGCAGACGGGTGTGGCGCTGCGAGTTACCGCCGACAAAGCAACCCCTTCTCTGCACAGACGCCGGGGTGGGGCAGAATACACACGCAGACGCCGGGGTGGGGCAGAATACACACGCAGACGCAGAGACTGAGTTCAGCACACGCAGAAAGTGGGACGGCCGCTGACCCGGATACATATATTTTGCAATGCAGGAGTGTAGAGTGAAGGGTGTTGTATATGACGATGAACGGCACTGTTGCTTTAGGGGCCATCGGAAGATGGGAGGAACGGAACTGATTGGTGGCTACTGGCTACCCCATATAGTGTCCCATTGGAAAACATCTTAACATGTCAAATAAAACCTTTTTAGCACGGTTAGTTGTTTGATAAATTTTCCAAATAAACAAACATCAACAAACTGTTCACGAACAAATTGTGTCCGCGAACAAGTGACGTCATCGACTTAATTTTTATGAATAACAACAACCAGTTCGCGATCAGTAAATTGGACATGTTAAGATGTTAAGACCAACCTGCAACTTGCACAGCACAGATTTACAGCCTCCAGTCGGCCAGAGTGAACGGCGAGTTGTGCAGGCATTGCGACAGTGAGCGGTCGGCCGGGGCGACTCAACCGGCGAGCGGTTCGGATACCCCGAGCGTTCCCCGCACGTACCGCGCTGGACGAGAACCACTGCATTAGCTGTTCATAACCTCTCCGCCAATGGAATGCAGCCTGGTCAAACGGAATATGGGCGTCGGAGCTCGGTCACTGAAGTCTCTGAGGTCGGCCACCGCGCCGGTACATTTTTTTTTTAACTTCAAATTTGCGTAGAATGATTTCTGCCAAGAAACGCAAGTGAGAGAAACATCAAGGCATGCATTATATTCAACGAAGCATATGCATTACCATCATAACCGACATCGACAGCGTTTTGAATATGTGCATGGGTGACGACTAGAGTTGCAAAATTTCCCCCAAAGGCTGCTACCGGCACCGCCCCGCCCCACAAAAATTTTCTGAGATACCGGCATGCTACCACGACCCAAGCAAAAACACCACCAAATTACCGGCATACTAAAAAAACCTGTAATGTTGATTCAAGCTTACCCATACAAGAGATGCCACACTTTGGCAATTTCAGTACCCATCCCAGTTCCCATCCAGCAGCCACCCAATGTCCAACCTAACTACGAACAGGATGATTTTGGCTCAGTTGGCCCCACAAATACCCACAATTTTGAAACTCAGTTCCAGTCTATAACTGTTAAAATATCACGTGTAATCAAAGAGAAAAAGCCTACAAAAAAGCAGTAAGAAAAAAGCATCAAAAAAAGCAATGACAAAAAGAACTTAAATTACTGAATTGTTTCTGAAGACTGGACAGTTCAAGTTAGCAGTAATCACATTAACATTTCAGAGGTGTTCTACTATTCCACATTCTCCTAAAATGTTGCAGGAGCCTACCAACCAAAATTAAATTTTGAAATCTATATGGCCACAACATAAAAAGTACCTACAGATTCGGCCATGTGCCTGAGGAAGCGAGATCAACACCTTTTTTCCTTTTCGCCATGGCTTGCTGGCTCATGAATAAGATACGAATCATTTGAAAAATGTGAAAAACTCACTTGTCCTGAGAACAGCCACCAAATAATATGCATAAAAACGATATAATACCCGCTTTCTCGAAGAATCTTCCTCTCCAAACACAAGGTTATCAACATTCAACACTGAACTCTATAATTTGATAGGTTATCAACTATCAAAGATTTCGAAACAGATGCGCCATAATAACAGAGACTTTTAACCCGCGCGGGGCTGGGGTCTCCAGCCGAACGCGCTGGGCTGGGGGGGGGGGGGGTAAATTTTACCCCCCCTGTTATCTCCCGAACTAACGGTCCGATTTGGAAAATTCAAACGCCAATCGAAAGCTCTCATCACGAACTACTAAAAACATGTACTTAATTTAAAGTTTGAGGTCAAGGTCAAGGT